GTCCTTTTTGATTTCACTTTCAATTTCCCTTCCCTTTAATTTTCTTGAGAAGGCACTGCCCTCTCCCCTTTCTCCCTTTCTGAATTGCCAATTAGGCAGCAACTCATTCGAAATCCCTCTCGACGGCCAATATCCAGAATCCTTCTTATAATTGCTTGTCCTGTGATTATTTATTTTATAACTATAAAAGTTGAAGAGCTTTTAAATGTATAAATAACTTTTTGCTAGACAAGAACTGGACTTCTTAGTTTTCTCCCAAGCAGGAAATCGAATTGAGTAAAACAAAATTAAGACAAAAATCCCAAGAAATTTGGACAGCAATCGAGAATGGTTCTCAAGTTGCCATTTGCATTTGCTGCCAAATCTCTGTTAGCCACTTTGCCACAGAAACGCACTCAAATATCACTGTCAAGAAGGCCAAGCCAAGCTTAAGTTAGAAAACATTGGCCCCAGACCATTACTTGAATACCCATTTGGGGAAAAGAAGGACTGGAAAGGCATTAACTTTTAATTCGATCGTTTATAAGCGCAGTGCCAGATTCGCTGGCAGATGCATCTGGAAATGCAAATCTCTGGCTAAAGAGGGGACCCAGAGCTGATAATTGCGGTACGCCAATAAAAAGCGTATTAAGCTAATTGCCAAATTTTCCACAAAATCCTCCCAAAAAACAACGCCGCCATCAACCGAACAAAGATGGCCAAGAAGCAAAAAAAAAGCCAAAAAAAAAAAGAGTAATGAAATTGGAGCAAAATGTGAAACTGCTACAGAGAGAGAGAGGGGGAGAGCACATGTTGCCAAAACTTTTCAACCATTACCAACACGTCCCCCTTCTCCTCTTCCATATTTCCCAACGTCTGCATTTCTCTAAGAGTACAGAGTACAGAGCACAAGTGAAGTGTAATTACAGCCAAAAATTGATAACACACAAAAATGGCAAGGAAAATGTGTTCATTGGGCCCTCAGCCAGCGAGCGTAATTAAAGACTTGCCTCATAGATTGTGTGCCTTTTCTAGGGTCTTAGGATTGGGCTGTCTAAACCCGAAAGTAGGTCAGGCTTATGGTGTAATTAACCCAATTGATACGCTAATTGATAAGCTTCTTCACAATAACAGATATCGAATGGAAGATACGATATGTGCAATATCAAAAGATGAATAATATAGATTAAATGGCTTGAAAAATCAATTTTCTTTTCATTAATTTTCAATTCTTAAGTATAAAGAGTCATTAGCTTCAGTTCCATCTAAATTATGCAGCAATGTACTTGCCACACGAACGTTATCTTTCGCCACCGTAGATTTCCGGCTATTTCCATTAAATTAAGCAATTTTCCGGCTTGCAACACAACAGCTGACGATTGCACTGGAAGTGTCTATGCAATGGTTTGCATTGATATGCATCATGAAAATGTACATGGCTGAGGGTAATTACTCCTAAGTGAGCTATTTAACTAAGGACCTTATACTCGACATTCGTAGGCATGAGTGAACGTAATTCAAGGTATTAAGCAAAGGCCAAAAAACAATGTTTATGGCAAGAGTCTGGAGAACAAAGGCAATTATAAGTGTATTTGGACGTGAGTTTATGTGTTTGATATCAAATATTTAAAACACAACGTTCCGGTAATAAAGCTTTGCCTTTTGCCTGACCCCCCTCTCAGCTTGATTCCCGCTGGTGCCCTCGTTATTTGCACCCCTCTGTCCCTTGTCCCCTGCCCCCTGTTCGTTCCTGTCATTGAAAATGAGTGTAATTTATGTATTAGCGTGTGCCCAAGTGTGTGTGTAGTGTGTGTGTAGGTGTGTGTATGCCAGCCGCATAATAAAACATGCAAAAATATGCAAATTGCCGCAGTCAACGCGATGAACTTTCATTACGCCTTGTTCCCGACGCTCTAAAGAGCGTTTTCCGCTTCCCTCGACTGGCCCAGAAAATCGATTAAATCACTTAAAGAGTTTATCGAACTTTATGCCACAGTCAGTCAGTGCAACATTGAAAACTCTTTTAAAACTCTTCAAGCCCAGCAAGACTTTGTGAAAAGCGACGAGAAAGTCTCAAACAGCGTAATAGAGACAGCAGATATGCATAATTTTAGCACGCTAGATTGTCATTTAAAATGAGTTAAGCCCGGGCAATTGCTGCAATGCGGAAAAGTTGCCTAACAGAAGCCTCAGTCTGAGTCGGATTTTGAGTCCGAGTCCTGTTCGGTTGGTTTTGGGGTGGGTAGTGGGTCGTCAGGTAACTGGCGTTATAATGAGCAAACAATAAAAGCAAACGTCGCTGCACGAAACAATGACGAGAACGAGACAGAGACAAGGCACGGAAAGAAGAGAGACAGGGGATAGAACACACACACACACACACACAAACAAAAACCAATTAGATGCAGCCAGGACAGCGAAGGCCAAAAGGTGGCAGCTGCAACTTTTCGTGTCCTGTCGATGTTGCGACAGGTCGACGGGCAGGTCCACCCATTCCCATTGTACACCTTGTTAGCGAAGGCCAAAGAAAGCTGCTTTTGGCCAACAAAAAACGTACTCCCGAACCAAGAACTACAACAATGACAACCTTCGGTTGCTATGCTAATTGCATTCTCATTGTTAATTATTTGCATTTAAGCAAAAGTTTTGTTGTTTTAAAAGGCAAAAGAGAACTGTAAAATCCTAAACTTAAATTCAATGCTTCTGCCAAGTTAAAATCAACTAAAAACATAAAACATACAATAAATATAAAAAATTGATACTGTTATCGATGTATTTTATGGCAATAAAACCTTTAAGGATTGATAGATCTAAGCAGATGTTGCTTTGTAGTCTTGAATTTAAGTTTGTTTTCTTTACATTAAAAAATCTTTAAAGTTATAAACAGAGAAAGAAGAGGTAGTAATAATAGTAAAAGAATTTTCCCAATTTCACATTTTCGTGATCTATTTTATACTTTAACTTTAAAATTTTTCATAAATTCAACAATAGATTTAAGGTTTTTGATTTAAGATCCCTTGCCCATTAACTCCACTTGGAAAGTTGGTTTTTATTGGCCGTTAGCCCCTCCTGTCCCTCCCCCGTCAGCTACTTCAGCAGGCCCCCCTACCTGCTTTCGAAGGACTTTTTTGGTACTGCCCTCACTTTTACTTTTCACTCACAGCGTGAATTTTACAGCCTCTTAATTTAAGCACTCGCCTGCCAGAGAATCAGATGGTTTTCGCGGGGGACTCTAAGAGGGCTGTGGAAGAGTGGCGGTGGGTGGGAAAAATTAATTTGTTGCAGACGACGCTTTTAATGTGGCTTTTTGTTAAATTAATGTACCTCTAGCAAGTCGCTCGTTTCCGTTCCCCTCTTTACTGTTTGTCAGGTTTCCTGTCACGTAATACCCATTTTCCATTTTCGCCTTTCAGTGTAGCGCGTTGTAAATTTTGATAGATTAATGGGAGGACACCGTAGGCCAACCCAAAAAAACACGACCAAAAATCACACAAAAGCCGCTCAACTTTCCAAGGCCATAATCATGAAATTCTATTGGCAATACCGCCGCCCATCGCTCATCTCGCCTTATCATGCCTTCAGCTTGAAACCCACGGGGGTACGAATAAATTTTCGGCTGCGGCATTGCATCAATCAAAACTACAATGATCTCTCCAAACCTTTAATATTTGTATTTCTTAAAGTAATATTAATCAGTTTTGATAGAAGAAACCAAAAACTTTTTATACTTGTGTATGTGGGAATGGTTAATAATGCATGATAACATGCAAAGTCCCTAGACATCAAAATGCCAGAAACGAAGAGATATTAAAAGCTAGCGACGAGTGACCATCTGGCGAATGAAGTGTAAGACGAAGGAGAAGACAGAAGCGACAACGAGTGACCATCCGGCGAAGGAGGTAGAAATGACGTAGACTACTAAGACGAAGACGTGAAGATCAGCGAACGACGAGAGAAGCAACGAGGAAACAAGAAACGAAGAAGAGTGTTCGATAAGAGTTGACGGTAGAGGTGGAGAAACATCGATGTTCACGGACATCGATGTTTACGATGTTTTTGGCGAAAACATCGATGAAACATCGATGTTTTAAATTAAAAAAAATGTGCAATTATTTTAATGTATTTGAACTTTATTTTAATTTGTAATGTTTAAAAATTAAAAGTCAAATTTTCAACAAAAAATATCCAATTTATTAATCACTTATTAAATAAAAACGAAAAGAAAAACAAATTAAAATAAAACTGTTCATGATATTCATGTTCTACTTCTTTGGTATATTGTCATATTCTTAGTTTGTAAATAATAACAAAAAAAAACAAATTTTATATCAATGTTTCAATATATACATACATGATCCAAAGAAAATAATAGTTCTTTTGGATATTGTGATATTCCTACTATACTTACTATTCCGAACTCTACTATATATGTATATTTGCATATTATTTACATCTTTGCTTTTGTATAAAAAGAGGAGCTTATCGACAACGGTCGATAATAGCCGCGTGCGACGTACACTTATAAGTTGTCCAGCTTTACTGAAAACTCTTTCAGATTCGCACGAAGATGCCGGATCGCAGAAGTATTATTAAGCTAACGTTTTATAAGCGTAGCCATTAAATTAAGTTATATATGTACTTACAATTCGCCAATCAATCAATGTGCCTTAGAAAGGAAAAACATCGATGTTCCTCCGGTAAACATCGATGTTGCCGATGTTTCGAAAACATCGATGTCATCGATGTTCGCATCGATTTTTCTCCACCTCTAGTTGACGGAGTAAAGACGTGCTCGAGAGGAGCAAATACGATGATCTACAGTTAGTCAATACAGTATTCGTTTCAAGGTACTAAATGACTAAATGCTGGTTTTTCTTAATAAAAGAGTGTAAAATGGGTTACTTAAGTTTTTATTTTGTTTTACACACTATTTTAACATTCAAATTATTACAAAAAAAAAATGAAAAAGCTTGCTCCATTGCTGCGTATAGTTAACTAGATTCCCACACATATACATACACTTATGGACAAAATAATAGGTGTGTTTTATTTTTCATTTTTAACTTCTTATTTCTAAGTCATGCTTTCTCCAATCAGCTCAAAACAAAGTTTTTTTAAAACTTATATTAATTGTCTTTAAAAGAAAAAAAGAAACAATACTATAAACCTTTTCATTAACAACAGAAGTAGATTTTTTCCTAAGTTGGACATTTTTGGCTGGACACAATAATAGTACTTATATATATCAATATTATTGTGAAAAATGTTTGTACATATGTACATATGTACATATATGTATTACAAGTTGTTATCGCTCACAAATAAAATGGACCTCATCGCTGCAAAAAGCTTTTTGCATTTTGAAATCCGCATTATTTAGGTAAACACAGGATGCTCCATTATTATACGGGTATCTGTAAAAATTAGTGTAATCAGCCTCCTTACCAGTGGTTTCAGATACGTATTTTCCCTCCTTCACAACAGTGATATCCACCCAAAATGATCGGCCTTGCCCAAAGAAAATCGCCTTAAGCTCTTCCCACTCCTTATCGCTCTGCAAACTGACCAGATGTCCACCCATGTGACGGCAAAAACTTTCGGCTTCTAGCCAGGTAGCAGTATGAAGGAAGTCGACGTAGTAATATTTCTCCCCTAACTGTACGCATTTTTTTGTAGTGTGTGGTGGACGGGAGCATTCCAAGTTCCATTGATCCTCTAAAGTTTCCGTGGTGTTTTCTTTTGATAAAGATGTATGATTCGATATTAGTTGGTTCAGTTGATAGGCCTGAAAATCCAACATATTTTGCAATTTCAACGTAAGATCGTTCCTCATCTTTGACATATAATCTGAGATGGTTTTGGCAAGTTCATCGTTCTCGACCTGCAACCCTTGATACGTTTTAATGAACTTATTTTCGTATATATATTTTCCTTACCTGACGGCTTGCTAATGAGTTTTGCAAACCAAAAGCGAATAATAGAAAAACGACTAGGAAACGCATTGCGCTCTTAATTAATCCGAACTCGACACAGAGTCTGTTGAAACTGAGAAAGTACCAGCTTTTCCACTGCAATTTATACCTAAACGTTATCATCAGCTTATCAACAGTTCCACTGATCAAAACTGGCAGAGAATTTGTTTATGAATATTGACTTAAAATACGTTACTAATTAATACTTTAAAAAGTGTTTTTCCAGAGTGTAAAGTAGAGTACATAAGCAATATTGTTGAATGAAACAGTGGAAATTTTGTTGTTGATAAGAAATCTATATATTTCTTAAAGCAATTATCTGTTTATTATAAAAAAAGAAAATACAGCTTACAATAAAAAGGAAAAAAAGGCGGTTGTGAAGATAAGAAAATTTATATATGTGGAATATATCCGGCCGAGTTATTCTAATAGAAGGTGGAGGTGCTGAGATTTTGATGCCCAGACTGCAAAAGCCATTTCCGGCCAGACAATAGGCGGTCGGCGCTCGGAATTTCCGTTTCTATTGTTCGGGCTTTGATTCTGTTTTTCCATATTTATTTCACTGGCTGTCTTTATTTTATTGCTAACGTAGCTCGACAAGGACAAAGCCAAAGCCAAAGCCTCTGACAAGCGCGGGCCAATTCGATGCACAAACAAAAATCAAAACGAAAAAAAAAATAAAAACAAGAAAATCTCATTTATCTTCTGAATGTGGCGGCCGCAGGCGGATTCGATGCCATCCAAGAAGACATGTCAAACTTTTTTCCTTTTGCCCCTCAATGTTGTCGTTTAGCTTAATGGAATTTGTCGCTAGCATTTAGTCAGCCAACAGGGCGTATGTGTGTTGACTTGCTCTTCAAGTACAGCAATTGATAAATACTTTATAATACCCTAAGATGCCTTCTCTTTAATGCATAAACAATGCACTTGTAAGAAACTTGTAGAGGAAATATGTTTGGGTAATAGAATTACAAATAATTGACATTTATCTCAGACATTTTATTGTCCAAATGGGACCATTTTTAGTCATTAATACTAATAGGTTGGTCTTAAAATATACGAACATTTTGTTTATTTTTCCCTTTGTTTTACAGACAATGAACTGTATTCCGGAACTGTGGCAGATTTCAGCGGCAGCGATCCGATTATCTACCGAGAGCCCCTGCAGACCGAGCAGTACGATAGCCTAAGTCTCAACGGTAAGTTTCTTGGGTGCTATTGTAGCCACTTGTGGTAATTGAAAATGTCATGGACCCTGTCAGGATGGCGCAGTGCGAGTCCTGGTTGCCACAGCTACACCGTCCCCCCTGTCCATGCTGGTGTCCTGTCGAATGTCAGTTGATGCGATGGCGCGCGATTGCCTTTTGCATATTTCAAGGGTCTTGGCCATGTTCCATGCTTCCATTAACTGAATCTGAGTCCGAACCGACATGGCACGTTCGACTGTCATTTACCACCAAAGATGTGCGACAGACTTCATAATTTATATTAAATAGCCCATGAGGACTATGACTTGAAAGGTTCTCAAATGATTTACTCAATTTGCTGAGATACAGATAGTATAGCTATTAAATCAATAAATTTAAAAAACATTTAAGTGCAGTTTTGAATTATGAATCAGTACAGATTTGTTTGTTTAATCAGTTTAATCAGTATGAGGAGATTGTTTATAATTTTCCAGCTAGAAGTCATCTAAAATTTAGTTTCTTTATTAAACCAATAAAATGTAACACAATCTTTACGCTCTTCTTATCAGTACCTAATGCATACAAATGAACCCATAAAATCAATATAATGCCATATAATACACGCGTCTATCATAAATTCATGAAAATCGAGAAAACGCGAAAAGTGACAGCTATAAAAATGTTTACAATCCGGAAAAACTATAAACTATACATATGACCGAACTGATATATTCTTTTTTTTTATGTTTTTACAGCACCGAACTTTGTGAGCTCATTTACTCAAGGAGACTTTGTCTATTTCTTCTTTCGGGAAACCGCTGTGGAGTTCATCAATTGTGGCAAGGTGAGTTCACTGTACACATACGAAACGAGGAGCTTTTCCAATCAATTTGGGGAACAACAAAAGCAAATTCAATGAAAATACAAGCAAACCAAGTTGAAGAGAAAATAACTGCTGATATTTGAGAATTTGGCAAAAGTTTATTTATGCTTCACAGATTGTGGTCTTCAATGGCTAGCCTCAAGCTGGGCAGAATTAATGTTATATAAATTCTTATCTTTTGCAGGCGATTTATTCGCGCGTTGCCCGCGTCTGCAAGTGGGACAAAGGTGGCCCGCATCGTTTCCGCAACCGCTGGACATCCTTCCTCAAGTCCCGGCTCAACTGCTCCATTCCCGGCGATTATCCTTTCTACTTTAACGAAATCCGTAAGTTTTCACGTTTTTAAAGCCATCTGTAGTCTGTTAATATTGATTATGAAATCATATATTTATTAAATTGTTTTCTTTAGATTTATTATCAATCTCAGTTTTTAAATTATTGCTTTTTCACTTAACTAAATTGCATTTTCTGTTTTTCCAACTAAATTAACTGTTCGGATTTTTGTGTTAGCAACAAAGCACATTAAATCACAGCAGAAAAACTTAATGAACCATCAATCTAACTGAAATTATTTCCCTAAATAAAGATAACTGTTAAATTAAAGCACACACAATACTAAATCAAATAAATGAAAAATAATTTATATTTTTTTGTTTGTTTTTCCCGCACTTAGAATCGGCCAGCAATCTGGTGGAGGGCCAGTATGGCTCGATGAGCTCGAAACTGATCTACGGAGTCTTCAACACGCCCAGCAACTCGATACCCGGCTCAGCGGTTTGTGCCTTTGCCCTCCAGGTGAGTTTCGGTTTGGTTCTCTGCCCCCAAACGAATTGTTTCTTGAAATGGAAAATTAAATTTTCGCCCCCCTTTCCCTGTCCACAGGACATTGCCGATACGTTCGAGGGCCAGTTCAAGGAGCAGAGCGGCATCAACTCCAACTGGCTGCCGGTAAACAATGCCAAGGTAAGTCCAAGTTAAACTTCCAAAAATTTCCAAATTTCTTGCGACCGCACTCCAGCACATCTGTTGCCTGGAAAAATTTATGACTTATGGCCGGTTTGCCATAAAAATGTATTCTTCGTTTGGCACAAAATTTGCATTTGCATCTCGAATGCTTTTGCCAATTTCCAGCAGATGACTGCACATGTCGCCATCGATTTGGATTTTGGCTTTGAAAAGGTTTTTGGGGTTTTGGAAAGGAGTAACGAAAAGTCTGCATTGAACTTTTAAGATAAACTCGGTTTTAACTTTAACTTGTTACCTAAATGTTATATACCCTTCATATTTCATTATATTTTTTAGGTTCCCGACCCTCGCCCTGGTTCCTGTCACAACGATTCGAGAAGTCTTCCGGATCCCACGCTGAACTTCATCAAAACACATTCGCTAATGGACGAGAATGTGCCGGCATTTTTCAGTCAACCGATTTTGGTCCGGACGAGCACAATGTGAGTAGAGCAGCAGGGCAGCTTATGCACATGGTCCTTATTGCTTCGTTGCTTCGTCACTTCCGTTTCCGGTTAGAGATTGGGAGATAGAGGGAGAGAGATATGACAGAACTGTGAGCAGTAAATAAATCCACAGGCTACCAAGTGGTTTAGAGGTTGCAGTGGATTTCAAAAACTACAAAAAATAAAATACATATAGAAGAAGCCTTTGTAAAATTTGAAACTATGGCAGAAACTTAGTTTCTAGCACGCAAATCCTGCCATAGATTTGCCATCATTGGGTTCGGTTCATTCCTGCCGTGTTGCAGCATCTGTTGCAGTTTATGGAAATTCGATAAGGTGTTAGTCAGCGCAAATAACCGTAAACCGTAGCCAACTGAACTGAACTGCAAACGGAAAGAAAACGGGTGGTTTGTTGCCATAAATTATTTTCCAGCGATTTGCCGCCCACTTTTGTTGGCCCCGAAGGGTGAATTTAAAAATTCAATTTGGTAACTTTTCCATGTAATTGAGCCACAATTATGGAGAAATGCTCTGAGATGCCGAGATGTGTGCCGGCAAAGCGGTGAAACTTTAAAGAGGGCTAAATCATGGGCGAGCCACTGAGCACCACTTTCGACGGCGAGCTAGTAACGCACAGTGGGGCAAATTTAATTATTTTGGAACAATATCTACCAAGAATTATTGATTTTAACATATTAAACATTAAATGGTGTATAATATTTAACACATTTCAGAAGTAAAAACCTAAATAAAACCTTAAATTAAAGTCAGAATCAATCTTAATACCTAAACACAATTTCAAAATCCTTTCTAAAGGCAATCTTTGGATTACCTTCTTACCCAAACTACAAGAATATAGAATACTCTATTGAGTAGAAAAGCTTATTGTGAAAATGCATTTCGTTAACCACTGTGATGTGTGTGGCTGAATGGTGGCTGAATGGGCTCAGGTGGTGGGGCAGCTGCAGTTGCCTTTGCGATAGTTTGAAGCAAACGAAGCGAGCCAGCCAGAAGGAAATGCATGGATGCGCCGAGGAGGCAACCCGTAACGAAAATATGTATGCTCAACTGAATAAATTAGAATGAAATATGGAACACGTAGCAACAACGCAGTCGGCGGACCTGCTCCAGCATCCGCATCCGCATCCACATCCTTTTCCCGCCCCCCTGAACATTTTGTGAGCCACATGAGCACACCACAAAGATGGGTAAAGTGGGGACGCGGTTGCAACTGACTCATTGCATTTTGGGGGGCTTAAGCAACGGATGCTTCTGGCCGAAGGATGAGGGCGTGCATCGGAATTTAATCAAGACCCCGGGACACTCAATTGAAAGTCATAAAAATGAGCAAAAGCTTCTTTAGCATATTTTTTAGCCTCAGCTTGTCGGGGCTTCATGACTTTATCTTGATTTAAATCTATCTACCTTAAAAAGTGATTTAATGTTTTGAAGGCATGATTAAGCCTCATCATCGTCGGACGATAAATCAATTTATTAACTGGGTCATAGATGTGGCCGCGTAATTAATGTCGAGTCAATATTTAATCACCCTCAAGCAGGCTTTCGAATTCAGATTCATCAACCGAATGATGTATGGTGTCAATAAATACAATTGGATGTTGATTTTGAATTAGTTTGGATTTAAGTTAAGTGCAAAAAATAATCATAATTGTAATCACCAAGTCCCAGAGTTCACTGTCCCTTTTTGCTGTGTCTCTTAACAATCCTTAGGTTACTTTTAATCCAAATCGGATTTGGCACAGCTTAGCGGCCTTTGTGCCAGATCAATCGATGCTGGTGTTTGGGGGAAAATCACTTATCATGTTTTCCAATTCGAATCAAATCTGGTTGGGAGACCAGAAGGACAGGCCGCAAGACGATATGATAGGCTGTATAATGGTGCTGGGGATTTATTGAACGCAAATGACAAAATCAAATCAAAAATTCTGCACAATTTATGGCATTTTCGGGCGAAACATAAATTTATAATAATTTCATTCTGGCCAGCCCATTTCCGCTCCTCAAGTGCCAGCCCTGCCTGATGGGTGGAGAGGCGTGGCTCGAATAAATCTCTAAAAGAAGCAAATAATTTGCATAGTGATGGTGGTACGATGGACGGTGGTGAAAGTTTGACCAAAAGTTGAAAGCCGACTCGGTTGAGTCTCGACAAAAGTTGAATGTCCCAGACTCGGGCTCCGTTACAAATTGTTTCCTGACGCAGACCGGAAGCATCCCATATTCAACCGATTTCAGCCAGCTGGCTGACCATATCCCGTCTGCATCGCATCTCCTTCCTGTCCCTTAGCCATCGCATTGTCCTTAACGTGTTCTTATCGCTTTCACTGCCCGGGTTTACCGGTCTCCTTGACTCTCTAAGACTTTGACTAACAACCAAACTCCCTCCCTTCAACCTTGCTCTTGGCCATTTGTCTGCCGACTTGGCTGTCATCGTCGCCCTTTGAACTCATCGGAGCGATACACAAAGTTGGCAACATTTTTTCAAGTTTCAATTGCCGAGACTTTGGTCTTTGACCCCCGGCAGGGCAGGACGTGTACTCGGATCCTGTTTAAATATTTTTTCCTTCTTTTACTGGCATAAATATTTGATTTGCATATGCAAAATTTTTTTATTGATTTTTTTGATATGTTTATAAAGTGGGAATACAGAATGATAATGAAAATTATGAACTTTAAAAAGCTTAAACCAGTTTTTTGACATACCAACCTCACAAAAACCCCAACCTTAACTTGCCTGAAAAGTTTATTTAATAAATTATTCGCAGAAATGTTGAGCAATTTGAAAATTGTTGCTGCTGCATGGCTTGTATGAAAAACCGAAAACAAGATTAGTTAATTAACAATAAAAAAAAAAAGCAGAGCAATGGGGAGGTAGAGCAATTTGGGGAGCTACCATTCCTGCTGCCCCGGGCATTTGCATTTAAATCGAGGCAGAAGGCATGACAGCAACAATGGACGTAGACCAGGCCACAAATGTTGCAACAACGCGGGTTTCGGGGGGGAGGTCAGGCAGACGACGGGCGTCGTTTTTGCGGTGAAATCAGAGGGAAATTTTCGTTTTTATTTCATCTACTTGTGTTGCTGTTCGGAATATGTTTTTTCCATAAAAACACAAACTGTTTGTTGCTATTGCAGCAGTCGTTGTATATATGTATCTTATGCTGGCAGTTATGTTGCAATGGTAGTTGTTTGTTGAAGTCCTCGACTAACCAGTCCAGCCAACCAGCCACATCCTTTCCCCTCACATCCTGACACAGCGGCAACCATTTTGGCGTCCGTCCATTATTAATGGACATCTAACCGAAATGACAGACGTACGTCCATTGTCAGGAAAACTGCTGAAAAACAATGTCGCAAAATAAAGAAAACATGGATTGACATTCTTTCCTGCATTTAGGGCTGTCGTTGATGAAAGAAGAAGAAGAATTAGATATAAATGATATCGAATGGGAAAAGTAATTAAAAAGCAGAATGAAATATAGACAAAGATAAACAATTTCTTTCCTTTAATTTTTACTAACTAATTTCCCCTTCACAGATATCGCTTCACCCAAATTGCAGTGGATGCGCAGATCAAAACGCCCGGCGGCAAGACCTATGATGTTATTTTTGTGGGAACAGGTAAGTGTTTTATAAAAACATATTTAACTAAATCTAATATTAATGTTTAATCACTAAACAGATCATGGAAAAATCATCAAGTCAGTGAATGCCGAGTCTGCCGATTCCGCGGACAAAGTAACTTCTGTGGTCATCGAGGAGATCGATGTCCTGACCAAGAGCGAACCCATACGCAATCTGGAGATAGTTAGAACCATGCAATATGGTATGTATTTAGTATTAGTACTTAATAACTTAACTTAAACCATGTTTGATCCGCAGATCAACCCAAAGATGGCAGCTATGACGATGGCAAATTAATCATTGTGACGGACAGCCAGGTGGTGGCCATACAACTGCATCGTTGTCACAATGACAAAATCACCAGCTGCAGGTGAGTGCCATGCCGCCCCTTCTGCTACCGCCTCCCTTTTATATACCAACTCCAGACAATGGCATTTTTATTATCATGTAACAATTTGCGTGACTCTCGTGTCGCTTGTCAGCCACTTGACAGGCTCAATATGCAGTATATTCGTGGGGTTTACACTTGACTTTCGTTTCGGGATTCAAGAGATATAGAAAAATAAAAGGGTTTCCCAAAATTTCGAAGAAAAATTAACATAAAAGTATATAAACTTTGAAAAGTTATTAACTTTTTCCCGAAAAGTGTATTCAAAAGTTTTTGCCTTCATTGGTAAATCCATTTAAACTCTTTTTAATCTCAATCAAATATATTTATAAGAATATAAACTTTTTCTTTAAGTGCACGTATTTATCCGCAATTTTCCATCCATTCGCAGTGAGTGCGTCGCCTTGCAGGATCCGTACTGTGCCTGGGACAAAATTGCTGGCAAGTGCCGTTCGCACGGAGCTCCTAGATGGCTGGAGGAGAACTATTTCTACCAGAATGTGGCCACTGGCCAGCACGCGGCATGCCCCTCAGGTAAGCGACCAGGCTAAGAGACTTGGCCCAAAGAAGTCGAGATTAACGCTATTCTGTTCTGTGGCAGGCAAAATCAATTCGAAGGATGCCAACGCAGGGGAGCAGAAGGGCTTCCGCAACGACATGGACTTATTGGATTCGCGACGCCAGAGCAAGGATCAGGAAATCATCGACAATATTGATAAGAACTTTGAAGGTGATTTACCTAAACGCTTTTCCTGCGTATACCATTTATATTTTCTTTCTCTTTTTTTATCATATTTATTTTGCATTTGTTCGTTTTGTGTTATGCACGTACTTGCTTGTCACTTTGCCCCTTTGCAACCTTCGACCTTTGCCTGCTCCCTGTGTTGTCTACCTTGCAAATCACATTTTCATTTTACCGGGATTCCCTGGTCTCTGACTGCCGGCTTGTTGGCACTTTATGCCATTCAAGACCCATCGTAACTGCTGTCAACTTCCACTTTATGTAAAGCGAATTTCTGTTTTTATGAGCTTCAATTTGTCTTTAACTTTTGTTTAGGGGAAAGACTGCAGACTGCAGACAGTGTAAATTGCAGTATCTCTGAGCCATATGTATTAGCTTTGACTAGAATAAGTTAAATAACTTTATTTGGTGCTTTTTCTGACATATAAACTGTATATGCATGTTTCTATAATCAATTTAATCAAAAGAATGTCTACACCAGGGGTGCTATAATTGACAGAAAGAAAATTAGTTTTCAATTGCACTGCGAAATAAACTCCAAAGTTGAAACAGAAGTTATAAGGAATGAATTTCAGTGCAAGTGTTGGAAGATGATCCAGTAAGAAACAAGAACAAATTATACTGAAGTTGATAACGGTACTAGCGGAAAGAGGAAAGCGAAATATTGTTAGTGAAATAGCAATGAGTTCGAGGATCATCATGGAAGAAACAAGAAAAAAATGTTTTTACAGTTGGCGGCGGAATGAGGCGAAAAGAGGAATACGAAAACATGTTAGTGGAATAGGAAGGAGTTCGAGGATTACCAAGGAAGAAACAAGAACAAATGGAATTACAGTTGGCGACGGAATAAGGCGGAAAGAGGAAAACGAAACATTATTAGTGGAATAGTAAGGAGTTCGAGGATGATCATGAAAGAAACGAAAACAAATTGTATTATAGTTGGGAACGGAATAAGGCACTTATACTTAAAATATACAATACAAAGTTCTGTATCTATCTTTGCATGCCTATGCTTCTTCTACTATCTCTAACGCTATTTCCAAACGATCTATTTTTTATATTTTAAAACAATAATTTAATCTAATCACAAACAAAATCAACTACAAGTTTTATCCTCATTGTCGTACAATTTTACTAACTGTTCTTATTCATATTTTTCTTGTTTCTTTCATTATGATTTCCGAACAATTACCGTGCAATTACCTTATACCATGCGTTCTAAATTCGATGTTTGGATGTTTATTGATGTCGTTGCAATAATGGAAAAACCTCCATTAAAAACCCCACACTGATACCAAACAAAAACCGACCCACCTGATAAACCGAATAAAAATCGTTACATACTCGTTGTGATTTTAAATGTTTGTTGAATGTTTTGCCTAATGCACACTGTATCGATGCGAAACAAACTGATTTCTATATGTATATAATTAATAAACTAACTAAAGGTCCACAAATCTCCGCAGATATAATCAACGCCCAGTATACGGTGGAGACCCTTGTGATGGCCGTCTTGGCCGGCTCGATATTCTCGCTGCTGGTCGGCTTCTTTACAGGCTACTTCTGCGGTCGCCGTTGTCACAAGGATGAGGACGACAATCTGCCATATCCGGATACGGAGTATGAATATTTCGAACAGAGGCAGAATGTCAATAGGTGGGTGCTTATACTGATGAAAGCGAAAATATTTATGTTATAGGAGGAACTCATGCAGAGTAAAGCTAAATAGTATAGGTAGCTAAATTCAACTATGACCCTAATACATGGGTATATTTACAGTTTAGTCAGCTCAATCTATGCCAGTTTATACCATTTGATTAACTGTGGATACCTAAAAGTATGCAAAGATTTTTTAAAATGAAAATAATCTTCCAGTCAGCTGTTAGCTTAACCTTAAGAGTTTGTAATAGGTTCCATCAAATCTTTAAACAAAATGTAAAACCATATAATAACACATTTCCATTTACCCTTCATAGCTTCCCCTCATCCTGCCGCATCCAGCAGGAGCCCAAGCTGCTGCCCCAAGTGGAGGAGGTGACGTATGCGGAACCAGTGCTGCTGCCCCAGCCGCCGCCACCCAATAAGATGCACTCGCCAAAGAACACGCTGCGCAAGCCGCCTATGCACCAGATGCACCAGGGACCCAACTCGGAGACCCTCTTCCAGTTCCAACCAGATGGCTACAACACCCAGCAGTCGTACCGCGGTCGCGACAACTTTGGAACACTACGTTCCCACCAGGTGATGGTGAGTTGTCCTCAAAATCCTTAAATCTACATAAAACTTATGAAACACCTTCTTATCCACAGGGCGATAACTATAGGCGCGGCGATGGCTTTTCCACCACCCGCAGTGTCAAGAAGGTGAGTTGAGCGAACCTTTTCTTGCGATCTGGGAAAACAGAGCGATATGATATATATTTTTATTTTCCAACTATCGTATCGTACTAAAACTAATCTCTATTAATCGTAACCATTGCGCTCTTTTCGATGTTGTTCGACATTTATTGACATTAGTTAAACTAACTTGCTCGTCCATCGAGAGTCCTTGTGCTGCGCTTGTATTTGATTGAACTCTCTCCTCACACAATCGTCGATTGGTGTATTTCTTAGCCTCACCTTTTCTATCTGTGTGTATTTCTGTGTACGAGAGTGTGTGTGCGAGTGCCTTGCCCTCACTCCCTCTATACTATTATCTATGTGTGTGTTAAGGATTATATAGCACCGAAATTGCATAACTATCATATATCATAAACCATACATATTGCTCTTGTCGTCGTAGTTAATGTTGTTGTATTAATATTCTTATTTTCTAAAATCATTGCATGCTTTTTCTCCTCTGAGTTTTCCACTTTATTGTTTTATCTCATTGACAAATACCGGATATTATAAAACTTTCAAAGGGTGTGTGGCATATGATAACTATCGAAAAACAAACCTTATAAAACCTATATATATAAACTGGTTTCCTGCTGGTTAGCTCACCACTAATATATCATCCAAACTTTCGTAATCTAACCCATTATCCGCATCATTCATGATCAAGCGCATGTTAAGCTACCATCTCCTTTCCAAACCATAAAGCTTATATCATTTGGGTTCTAACTTAAAGCTGGAAATACACCAATCGTTCGAGTCAAGTGGGATTGGATATCAGCAGGGCTTTCTCTATACCTCTACCTCTGTCTAAGCATTTTGTACAGCTACATTCTGTAACTAAACACTCTACTTAAACTCAAAGACAAACTCTTTCTATCGATACTAACTTTTAAACAACATAAAAAAACACAAAAAAAAAAAAAAAAAAAACAAAAATCTATCTCTATCTTTTCTCTATTCTTCTTCCCCTTTTTACATTAGGTTTACCTTTGAGACGGGAGTGGGGCGGCTGAAACCAGTCAGGGACTAATTACCCAAAATATGGTAAATACTTATTTATAACTAAAGCCATTTCAGTTTATTTATTTCGCTTGGTTTTTTATTGATTTTCATTTTTATTTTTATTTTTTTTTATTACTTATTTTGGTGGGCTTTCGTTTGCTGTGATTATTAATCTGGACAATATTTCGCTCAAAAAAAGCTGCAATACGGAAGCTCTCTTCGCAACGAGCTATACCGAAATTCCCTAGGCAAAAAGTAAATTTTCAAAAACTCTCCGATTTTCGCTCTCTCACTTTTCATAATTAATATTTCGAGAATTTGAAAGCACCAAATGCAAAATTAGTTTTCTTTTCTTAGGCACTGTTGCTGAAGCTTTGTTGTTTGCTCTCTCTCTCTCTCTCTCTCTCTTTCTCTCTCTGTCACTCTTCACTCACCTTTACTTTTGGTTAAACATTACACATTTTCGAATGGCTAAAGAAAAAAAGGTTAAATCGATCAATCAATCGGTCAATCAGACCAGTCCAGCCCAGTCAGCCATCCCGCGCCCAACTCGCTTCGCAAATCGCCAATGCCAGCGCTTCCTTCAACCTTTGTTTGACCTTTGCGTGATTGAGTGTGTGTGTGTGTGTGAGTGTGTTGAATATGGCGCCATCCATGATTTAACCAATACCAATACCAACATCATATACCCCCAAGCCTGAAGTTTCCCCTTTGAACCGCTTGAACCGTTCTGCATGGGCGTCAAACCTCCAATATACAAACAAACCAATTACACCAAAATCCCCTAAGGATATCTAAAGCTATAGTGTGAATGTGTGTGTGTGTGTGTGCATCTCAAAAATACATTTATTCAAGAGACAAATATGATATATATTCCGGTAATAATTAAAGTACTTTCCCCACCATGATACATGTACTTCTATTGCTTTCGTTTCTATATATGGTATATGCTAAAAATATTATTTTAATTTAATGCTTGCTTACTAAAAAACAGAAATTAAGAACCGAAAGTAATTGGCGGCTATTGCATAAACACCTAACAGCATACCAAATCGAAACGATACACAAATTTTAAATTGCAATTTGGGTTCCTAGAACCTTTAATCTAATATTAAAATACATAAAAAATTGGCTTGGCCTTGCAACATTTGAGAGCAAAACTAAATTGATTGCGAACGTTTTTTACCCTAGACTTGAAGCAAACTAGCAAATTATTGTTTCATTTTTGTGTTATTTTCTGTTTCCTTCGAACATTCAAACATAAACAATTATCTTAATTATGAAAGAAGAGAAATTGATAAACACTCCAACCCCATAGGCTGTAAACAACACAAACACACGTAACAGAAGTCTTGGTCGCGCAAGAAGACAGCCGCCCCGTCATGGCATTGGTAAGTCCAAAAACCCGTCTTGCATTAAGTTAGAGTTACTGCTAAGCTGGCCAAAACCAAAACCAGAACCCATAGAAAGACACAGTTACCCAAAAGTACTTTTCAATATCTGTCGCCAGGCCTATTCTTCTCCCTATTCTATATCCCTCTGATCCCTCGATCGATCTGTGGTTCGACACCCGAATGGGTTGGACAGCTCTCGAAACTATCTCTGAAACTGAATTCTTTTCTTTAAACTTTTCCTCAAAGTTAAAACTCTACATGTTATTTCATATTTTATGTGCTATATATATATATATATATTTTCCCTTCAATATACTTGATATATATATTATTTGATACTTGTACCAGTAGTTTCTGTGTGTTTGTGTGTGCATGTTGCAGCAGACTCAATGTTATCTCGAAATATGCATTTCATAGCCTGAGTGTATGTGTGTGTGTGTGTATCTTATCCCAAGCATCGATGCAACATGCACCCAAGCACCCATTGCCAAGTTGAATTCTCTTCAAACTAATTCGAGTATTTTCCGGCTTTTGCAGTAACTCAACACCGTTCGAATAGCCCCCAGCAGCAACAGCAGTCACAGCAGCCGCACTCCAGTTCCGGCTCCTCACCCGTAATGTCCAACAGCAGCAGCAGTCCGGCTCCGCCATCCAGCAGCCCCAGTCCGCAGGAGAGCCCCAAGAACTGCAGCTATATCTACCGTGATTGATTGATATGCAACACCAAATCGATGCCACTCATTAAAGCCCAGTCCACGCACGCCCAGCCACGCCAACAACCACACCCTTATTCATCACCCGGTCCGACCACGCCCCCAGCCCAGCCGCGAGCCAAGAGTCCAATGATCAGCAGGACATATGCCAAGTCCATGCCCGTTACACCAGTTCAACCGCAATCGCCTTTGGCGGAGACGCCCTCCTATGAGCTCTACGAACGGCATTCCGATGCCATTTTCCACTTCGACGATGAAGACGATGAGGATGACGATCGGGACCAGGCGGACACCTCCTCGCTGGCCATGATCACACCGCCGCCGCCCTATGATACACCTCACTTGGTAGCATCGCCTCCGCTGCCGCCACCACGTAGATTTCGCTTTGGCAACCGCGAATTATTCAGCATGAGTCCCGCCGGCGGCGGTGCCACCCCCACAGCCTCGGGTAGCTCCAACAACCGCGGCAGCAGCGCCATTACGCCAACCAAACTAAGTGCAGCAGCAGCTGCCATGTTTGCTGCCCCCCAAATGGCCACCCAACTCAATCGGAAGTGGGCACATCTGCAGAGAAGGCGACGCAGGCGTAACAGCAGCTCCGGCGATTCCAAAGAGCTGGACAAACTGGTCCTGCAATCGGTCGACTGGGATGAGAACGAGATGTACTAGCATAGGACCCACAAATAGGATATGGCAGCAGCACACTTTCATTCTAAGCTAGTTGATCCGATTTTACTGTTTAAAAACTTTAGATCTTTTTGTAAAATTATATCTTTTTAAAAGTCTTCAGGGCTTTTGATTAGTTAGCTAGAATGTTAAGAACAACAACATGTGATTGATGTTAAGTTAGTAGTAGTTAACAACTTTAGACGAACTTCAAAGTATAAATAAGGGGATTACAGGTTATTTTCTTTGTTTTGTTTGCCTTTATTGTGATAATTTCAAAGTAATTTTACAACTAAATGCAGCTTTTTAGTTTACAAAACATATTAAAAGAAATTACTGTTAATTTTTATTAATTTTGCTTCAATTTTACACAAGTTTTAAGACATTTTTTATGACCTAATCTCAAAACAAAACTATGATTTAAAATGAAATTCACTTAAAAGTCCCCGAATTAAGGCTGGTTCTAAAGAAGTTTTCTACTACCTTCTATTAGTACATTAATCAAAATTCCAAGGTGGCGCTGCACTTGATTAAACGTGGCTTTTGACTGGGCATTTTATTCATAACCCCCCCTGAAACCATCACCCCTTCCTCAAACTACAAGTAGCAATCGAATAAATCATTCATTGGCGATAGGAACTGGATGAGGATTTACTTAGACACCCGAAAAGCAAAAAGCCAGAGAAGTTATACACGAAGTTTATAGTTATATATAGCCTTTATACATACTCCCAGATCTGCTAAGTATACACAAGGATAACATAACATACGTATATATATATATATATGACTCTATATATACCAATTGATTATAGATGATATAGACACGGTTCAAAAAAGAAACGGCTACGCTAGATTAGAGCTGCTAAATGATATTGTTAATTACGATTAGAGAACAAATCAACAAGTGTAAATATTAATCCTAAAGAATGGGCAAGACGTAACGTAATCTAAGCAAACCTTATTCGAATAGAGTATACACGATATACAAGATTTTTGCATTTAACCAAGAGAAATAAAAATTAGATGAAATTTAAATTGCAAAAAATGAAAAAGCAAACAACAAATGTTTAAGTAAGAAGAGAAAACAAAACGAAACGCTTATTACTGATTTACACAAGAGAAATGAAATAAACTTACCGAAATAGTAGGAAGGCAAACAAATTAGTCTTAAGCCGTCAGAGAATCGGAGGGAGAATATAAGGAAATTGCATTCGGGATTCATTCCGAAACCGAAACCGAAACCGAAATCGAACTGGAACTGCCAATCGCAATACAGAGCTCCCATCGAAATCGAGTCCATCGAGTGCATTTTCCATTGTCAATTTCATTTGCAGAGCCTCAAGCTAATAGTACTTCTTCTCCTCAGACTCCTCTGCTTCAGTCTGCCATAGGAAAGTGTAAATTATGTACAGGACTATATACGCATTATATTCAACCGATCTGTACAGAAAACAGTATGTGCGATATGTGCCATAATTGGGTGTTTGCCCACATTGAGTTTAGTTGTTATTGTTTGCATTGATTCAGAATAGTTCTTAACTGAGAACACCACTCGCTATCTTTGTATATATACGATTATATATATATATACATATATATTGTATGCATGAAGAGGGACACACAAATTTCATGTGAAGTGATCGATCAAAATTTAGTGAAAGCATTAAAACTAAACTTTAGCCTAGCCATATAGGGTTTGTATTATATATAGAGATTGGCCGTAGGGCGGAGGAAAACTTTTGAAAATATTTTCACTAGGGGCATTGCTAATGTTGTTCTCGGTAATAGAGTATATTAGAAGTAGGCTAAGCTAATCGATACTCAATATTTTGTATGAGAAACATTCAAATCATCCGATCAAACTTGGAAATTGCGTTGCAAGACGAGTAAAAAAGCGTAGAAATATCTAAATCAAAGCAAATGTATAAACAACAAAGCCCATAAAACAAACAGTAGATTTAATATTAAAACCCACACAAACGTAAGCGTATATATTGATTATTATATATATGCATATATTATATATATATACTTTATGCATCTGCAATTTAATGCTTTTTATATGCAATTTTACTTTTTGACAAAATGTATACAACCGAAGAAAAAATCAACTGCAAAAACAAATATTTAAACAAAAAACACTCACAAAGTAAGAGGAATGCGATTACATTTAGACAGCCAAAGACACAAATGATTCTTAACGTTGTTTTTCCAATTATTTGTGCTATTTTTTAATTAGTTTTATTTGTAAATACTTTTAATTTTAACTAATAATAACTATACTGCAACACCTTATTACGTATCAATTTGCTTTCTGTTCGAGCTTGTTTAGTTTTTAAATATATCGTTCTTAGTTAATTCTTCATAAAAAAAAACAACAGTGTCGAGTACTTTGAAAGCAATACAAAAACTTAAGAAATGTTTAAGAAAATAATTAAAGGCAAAGATTCAGAGGACACATAGAGTAGCAGCAGATGGATAAAAAGAAAACTTAGGACATACACTAGGGTTTTGAACTAATTCTAGATCTACATCAACTACTTATACAATTGCATACAAGTATTAACTGAATCAGATCATTAACTTTTATACACTTTACCATTTACATATATATACAAGCAAACTGAATGCCGATAACCGATTATTCAAAAAATATACAAGGCTAAATCTAACATGTAATTGTAATTTGAAGCCAGGCTGCAATTGAAAGGTTTTACAGTAAATCATGCCTACAGACATAAACCAGCAACAACAAAAACAGTAACAAGATCAGAGAATCCATGAATATATATACTTATACATAAATATAGATGAACCATATACATACACTTATTAGATACTTTAGAAGAGAGATTCTCTAGAAATGCTTTTAAATTTAACAAAAAATAAAAATCGGAAAAAAATTACAAAAAATTGAAATAATAAACAAACAAAAATAACTGATTTAAGCAAAGTATTTTATTAAAAACACTCAATGCTGAAAAGGCAAAAGTCAAATGCAAAAAAAAATCTAAAAAAAAAACTATAAATTTCTTAAAACTTTCAGCAAAAGGCAAACCTTTGTGAGATAAGCAAACTCAGACACTTTTTAGAAGAGCAGAAATTGTGGGTTGACGATGATGATGATCACTATGACGTCGTTGAAGATACTTTAAAGATAATTATAAGCTAAACGAAAACGATTTTTAACTTTCTCCGAATAAGACGAAAACAATTATTACCTACAGATTGTAGCGAGCGCATTCATATTTGCTAATTAGCAACTTATTAAACTATAAAGAACAACCAACATTTAAAAGATTAGATCAGAAAAAGCAGGAAACCAAGAAATCAACAAAACAACAAAATAAAAAACAAAAACAAAAATGATAACAATCCATGACACGACGACACACCCAAGTTTTCATTTTTTTCATTAAAAACGATATATATTCAAGTGCTTCTTACATAAAATAAATATATAAATATATATATAAAACAAAAAAATATATAAATGATTACATGATAGATATTATTACGAGCGGGCATTAAATTACAAATACCTACTAACTAGTTTAAGGCATTTACCACAAACTTCATTATTATGAACTGTATTATTATGTTTTGTTTATGTGAAATCGAGCGAACTATTACAGATAATGGAAAATCAGATAACTGATCGATCGGAAGTGCTATAACTCTGTACGATATCCGGTTCCGTTTGGTTTTATAATTTCTAAGTAGCCAGCTCTCTCAATGCATATAGAATAAATACAAGAACACAGACACTGACACGTAATCGATGCATTTTACTTACTTGAAGGCCATCAATGAAGCAAGGTTATCCGAGTTCATGAATTCAATTTATATAATTATGTTAAGATTTTATAACGCAACAAGCCTAACGTATGCATTACCTATATGAATACTATTATGCGAAACTTTGTAAATACTTCACCAAACCAAATAAATATTCCTTCATTCAAGCAAAAAACCAATGATCAGAGCCCTAACTCTAACGAATTGAACCGAAAACATTTGATTTCCTTCTCCTCCTCCTTCGAACACCCATCATACCTATTACACAATCCTCAAGAGATGCTTATCGATTAATAATAATCGAAGCATACGAGCCATGAGTACGAGTATGTTATCCATTCTTTAGCGGTTACAAATACGTAAGGATAAATTTAAATTGTTGAAAATGTAGCGCCAGAACGTAATGAGTAACAAACTTAATAAAAGAGAGAGCCCCAAAGCGAATAACAAATATTTAACCAAATAAGTTACGAAAGTTAGACACAAAACGGTACTTCCAAGCAACTATAGAGCTAACAGCAAGCCATTTAAATGAGAGAACTCGAATGCGAACTAAACTGTATGAATTGAATTCCCAGTCCCGCTTCCCTCCCTTCTTCTCGCCCACTAATCCAAGGTAAATCCAATCTGCAATCTGGATCGATAACGGTTCGGTGCGGAACGGTTTCCTTATCTTGTCCCCATAGAATCCCTCCCCCTGCCTTAACACAGCTCCAATTAGGAATTCGCCATGTTTCGGATTTGGTTCAAGGCAAAACGATTCAAGAAATTAATACACCAACACCAGCACACACACACACTTAATTAATCACACGAAATATTTGCGGTATCATAGATCAGAACAGCACTGCAAAACGAAGATCTACAGCATGAAGAAGCTATATAGAACAACAACATGAACAACAACAAAAAATTGTTAGTAAAAAGACTGAGCTACAAAATATACAAGAAAATATAAAAAAAAAAACGATAAACAAAAGATACAAAGGAAAGAATGAAAGGAAAACTAGTAACAAATCAGTGACAAAAATTAATTAATGTGCATTTTTGGGTAAACGATTTTTGACAAACGAAAGCCAGAGGTTCGATATGATTTTGGTTTTGATCAGTCGTAAATTTGTTAAGAAGTTCCTAACACTAAACGCAGGCAACCCCTAAAAATATCAATCAATCAATCAATCAATCAGTGCTACAAAGCCAAGTTCAATTGTGCACATAGAAGAGGGACCTCTGCATTTATTTCTCAGTCCACGTTGGTTAGTTGACGTTGACGTTGACGTTGAAGTTGATGGGAAGCTGCTAAACAAAATACGTAATTTGACACATTTAATATTTAAGTTTGATTTTGGATTTGACTTAAGAGGCTTCTTTCCTTTGGGCCACTGCCACAGCGCCACACAGCATAATCGAGATTAAAATACCTAGAAAGAATATATATATATGAACACGTATATACATATATATATAGACACAAGTATATATGCATACACTTGCTTTTAGCTTTCCTAGATCTTTGATTTCCATACTTGAGAACGTACGTACAGTAAGCAGCGAGTCATAGGAGATTGTCGGTCTCAGACATGAAATAATCAAACTCAAGCTGATAAAAACATAAAAACACGAGCCCAAAAAATCGGTCCGAAATACAATTAATTCTCAACACAAACCAAACGGATCGAAATATATTCTGAAGCAAGTCAGTACCACACAAGTTTAACATACATGGCGAATAAGAGAAATCGATTAAAGAAAACCGCATATTATTAATGATTATTATATTGTATTATTATAACTGAAATATTTAGATGAAATGACGATTCTTAATTATAACACATTATTATAGATACATACTGAAAAAGCCGAAACAAAACAACAAATTGAAAATGAAAATGAAACTTTAACAAAAAAAAAAAAATGGAATGGAATGGAATCGAAAATGATTAATAAAAATGAAAATATAGAGAATATTATATTATGAACTTTTCCAATGCGTTTTAATCACACTCCTCTCTCTCATCTGACTTAGTCTGGAAAGATTTTTTCTTTTCATTACGAAGCTATATAGAACATTACCGAAATTCGGAGTCATTGCCTTTAACTTTAGGAGAGCTAGCGTTGGGCATCTGTGTTACGTCGTTTTGTCTAATTTTTCGAAGAGGTCTTGCTCTCGGCCTACCTTCTAGCAAGATCAAATCGTCGCAACTTAAGCAGCCGCTTGACCACCAGAATCATCTCCGATTTATGAATCGAAACATTATTGTACAGGCATCAAAGAAATTGCGGTTTAATGTGGATTACTGGTCGGCGGCGGCACTAGGCCGTACTTCTTTCGATACTGTCAATGGCAACCACTGCCGCTCAATGATAACAGAATAGTTTTGGGTCGAATCGGTTGTTATAGACTTGGACTAGATAATATGTTGACCTTTCGACCCAATTAAACTTTATTTCCGAAAAGCAATAAGGAAAGCGTTAAACGAATCACTCTGGAACTTAAAGATTAACAAATGGACAGGATCAAGAATATATATACTCCCCAACGCTTTCCTTTAACTGTTCATAATTTTTTAACAAATTTGTAATTATAATTATAATATAAATATAAAATATAAAACACAAACATATTACATCATAAACGACGCAGTATACTAGAAAAATATTGCTATAAATAAAGATTGCTATTTTAACAAATTGTTTCATAACAATTGTGAATTCCCCGACATGCCTATGGACATGCTTTTACGTTCATACATATACATATGGGTTGTACTTAATTTAACATGGCGAAACAAGCTTCCACATCCAGGGAAGCTGAGGCCACCCGATAAGGGTCTATCGGCCGGGGAGCGGATGAGATAAGGACCATCGGACCCAACAAAATCACATATGTATGTCTACAAAAAAGAACCAGGCGCGGATCCAAAAAAATGTAATCATTTAAATAAGAGTGTTAAATTCAAGAAACTCTTTTAGATTAAGTCACTTAAGGTCATGACCTCGCAAACTTCGAGGGTATTTTACACAAATGGTCAGTGTTAAATCCATATTATTAGTACATATCAAATAATATTTTGGATTCGAAAATAACGAAAACAGATGTCATGGCATAGTATTTCTTAAGAGTTTTAGTTGTTTTTGGTTCGCATATAGTATCAAGCAAACCTCGCGGATCGGCCGATCCAAGGCTTTGCTTTAATTGATGATAGTGCCCAGAGCTTTTCAGGCCGTCGAAACCGATTCGGGAATCAGTTCTCGTTTAAACGCGACGCAGCGAGCAACATGCAGCCGTTGCTCCTAGTACTGGCCCTCTGTGTGGCCCCAATCTATTCCCATTCTTTGGGTTCTCGAAACGACTATAACGAGGACTACGACGAGGATAACAAAAACTCATGGCAGCCCGAACCGTTGAAACCTGCCCCGTGGCAAGCCCAAGAAGCCGTTGTTCAAGCACCCGAGGTTGGACAGATCTTTGGAATTAAGGCCTTCAAAAACATTGCCAATCGTCCGATCAATGCCTTCCTGGGTGTGCGTTACGGCAAAGTTGGAGGTGGCTTGGCCCGCTTCCAGGCTGCCCAGCCTGCAGGCTATCAGGGACGAGTTAATGCTACCGTCCAGAGCCCCAACTGTGCCCAGTTTCCAGAACTTAATCGCCTGAGGGAAGCTGAATCCCGAGGCGAAAATGTCGACGACTGCCTCACCCTGGATATCTACGCACCCGACCGCGCCAATCAACTACCCGTGCTGGTCTTTGTTCACGGCGAAATGCTATTCGACGGTAGCTCTGAGGAGGCGCAACCAGACTACATTCTGGAGAGGGATGTACTGTTGGTGTCCATTAACTACCGTCTGGCACCATTCGGATTCCTGAGCGCATTGACCAATGAACTTCCCGGAAACGTGGCCCTTTCGGATATACACTTGGCCCTGGAATGGCTGCAACGCTATCTGGTCCACTTTGGTGGTGACCCGGGACAGGTGACGCTGGTGGGCCAGGCTGGTGGTGCCACGTTGGCTCACGCTTTGACTCTCAGCGGTAAGGCCACCAATCTCTTCCAGAAGCTAATCCTGCAGTCAGGCACCGCCTTGAATCCTTACCTGATTGACAATCAACCAATTGACACCCTGAGAATTTTCGCAAACTTCGCCCGCTGCCCACCTTTCCTTCCTAATCAGCGCGGATACGAGGTCCTTTACCAATGCCTCGGCCAATTGTCCACATCCCAGCTGGTTGCCGCATTTCAGCAACTGCTAGTGCAAAACGAGCGTCACGGCCTCACCCAACTGGGCGGGTTCAAGCTGGTGTTCGGTGACCCGCTGGGCTACTTGCCCAGCCATCCAGCTACCCTTGTCCAGAACGGAAGCCTGGCTCTGCCCATGATTGTCGGTGCCACCAAAGATGCCAGTGCCTTTATCCTATCACGTAAGTACTAAAATTTGATACGATATATGTAGCTTGCGAGGTAAATTTCATAATGATGAAAAGTTCAGTTGTGATAGATTCAAGAACTTAGCCGTTCTTTAACCAAATCAGTAAAACCAAAACTTTAAAGGTCACGAAAAACAACTTTTGTTAATCGAACATATTCAGACTTGAAGCCGAAGTATAAAACAGCAATGTTTCGATCCATCTCGGAGTGAAACTAATCAGGCTTGGGGCAGATTGAGAGTCAGTTGGAGATAAGAGGCTGGTCTCGAGGTCAGGCTGATTAAGTCCAGTGCAATTAGACCGCATGTCCAATATAGCTAAATCAGATTCCATTTATGTTGTGAGGAATTAATCTTAGTTGGTTTCAAGGCTGGCGGATTTGAATGCTATATACGTCGTCAGGCAGGAAATGATTGCGCATTGTTAAAGAACATTTAATCTTTTAAAGTAATAGAAAAAGTTTGACCTATATCTGAAAAGATCGAGTTTAAAAACTCGACCCAAAAAACAGCCTCTTCGACTATAAGTTTTTCGTAAATTTAAAATCATACGAATCTATTTAAATATGAGGCAAAGTTTCCTGAAAAATCGCAAGTCTTTTGTTATAATTATTTTTTGAACACTATTTTATTTCTGTGGCTTTAGAATATTTATTTTAAAATTCTGTAAGGCAAGTAACCCAAGATAAACTCAATGCATTAACTATTTTTGTATGCCATTTTTACTTCAGGCATCTACGGCCAGATCTCTAGTCTGCAGTCCAGCAATGTGAGTGACTATATCGACGTGGTCCTAAAACATACTGCGCCGCCCAGCGAACACCACACCTGGAAGCAGTGGGCTCTACGCGAGATCTTCTCTCCGGAACTGGAGTATACGGCCAGTCCGCAAACAGTGGCTAATGGCCTGCTGGAGCTGAGCAACTACATCCTGTATCGTGCACCGGTTATCAACTCCATCAAACATTCTTACGGCTCGACCCCTGCCTACCTGTACATCTTTGACTATCGCGGAGAGCACCATCGGTTTGGACACCTAACGAACCCCCTTCCGTTCGCAATCGACGCCTCTCTCAGTGATGACAGCGTGTATTTATTCCCCTACCCTGCTGAAGCCAGTCGCCTGAATCCCTTGGACAGATCACTGTCCCGCGCTTTGGTCACCATGTGGGTGGACTTCGCGATAACTGGCGTGCCCAATCCTATTTCTGGTGTATGGCCGCAGGCTACTTACGAGTATGGTCCCTTCCTGCGCTTCACCAACTCTCGCCAAAACCCACTCGAATTGGAACCGCACTTCGGTGAGGGTAATTACTTGCCGAATTACAGCCGAGTGAGTTATAGGCCGGCCATTAACAGAACAGTAAGTCGTCCCTGGTTCCCGGCTACCACAACAAGGACAACAACAACAACCACGACAACGACAACTAGCCGGCCCTACGTTTACAATCCATATGCCAATTGGCAAAACAGGCCCCAACAACCGTCTTGGCATCCTGCGGACCCGGAATACGTCCGAGCTCAGGAAGCCCGTCAGCAAGAGTTTATCCGTGAAAGGGAGAAACTTAGGCGAGAGCAGCAGCAGCGAAACAATCAGCGTCGTCCTCGGCCGGATTCTCCTGAGGAGCAAGAAGAGCGAATTCGGCAGGAAAGAGCACGGGAGCAGTATGAACGAGAGCAGCGACAACGTGAGCAGTATGCACGCGAACAGCGAGAGCGTGAGCGGCAAGAACAAGAGCAGCGAGAACGTGAGCAGCAAGAACGTGACCAACAAGAACGAGATCGGCAGGAACGCGAACAGCAAGAACGTGAGGAACGCGAACGGGAGCAACGAGAACGAGAACAGGATCCCGAATATAATTCAGAATCAGTAGATCCAGATTGGGACGATCCTCAAGAAAGGGACGATCAATCACGAGAGCAACAAGAACGTGACGAACGAGAACGAGAGCAACAAGAACGCGAGCAACAAGAACGTGAGCAACATAAACAAGAGCAACCAGAGCGAGACCAACAAGAACGAGACCAACAAGAGCTAGACCAACAAGAGCGAGAACAACAAGAGCGAGAGCAACAATGGCGAGAACAACAAGAGCGAGAACAACAAGAACGAGACCAACAAGAACGAGAGCAACAAGAGCGAGAGCAACAAGAACGAGACCAACAAGAACGAGAGCAACAAGAACGAGAACAACAAGAACGAGACCAACAAGAACGAGAGCAACAAGAACGCGAGCAACAGGAAACCGGACGCAAACCATATCCCTCATACGAACAATTTAGTGAGGACAACGAAAATCCTTCCGAATCGGATAACAGGCCTTACTTCAACGAGGAGCAAGAACGTGAGCAACAACTGCAGGAGCAACTGCGTCGAGAGCAGCAGGAGCAGCAAGAGCGCGGACAGCAAGAGCGGCAGCAACAGGAAAGCAATCAGGAGAATGAGCCAAGTGATAATCCTGAAAACTACCCTAGCTATGAGGAGTATATAAAAGCCCAAGATCGCTTATACGCTGAAGAGCAGGAACGCGAGCGGCAGCAACAGGAGCGATTGCATCAAGAGCGGCACCAGAATCCGGTCCCAAGTCAAACTGATCAATGGGTGCCTTATCCCGAGGAACATGACCGCAGTTATTACGAAGAACAGGAACCCGATCGGGCTGAGCAGGAAAGAGATGAACAGCCTGAAGAGGATCAAGAAGACGACGTGGGAGCAGAGCAAGGCGGTCTAAGGGTCGAGGACTTCCCAAGCTATGAGGCTTACGTGGAAGCCGCAACCAAGATTCGCCAAGAACAGGAAGAACAAGAAAGGTTGGAAGAGGAACGTTATAGGGCCGAACAGGAGGAGGCAGACCGAATCGAGGCAGAGAGGAGCCATAACGCCTAAAAACGCATCCGCAACATATTGTTCTCCTGCAGATACTATAAGATGAATTCATCTTCCATAGCAAGTTTAATATTTCAAAATAAACAAATAATATTTCAAAATTAACAGCGTAATATTGAGTACCGAAAGAAATAAAGGGTGATACTTGGATGCGTTTTTTATAAAGGTATTATAATATATCAGTTTTCAACCCGAATTCAACGGGGCTTAAAATTATTGAATAAATAATTTTTGAATTACCTGTATTAATTGTAACATTAAGTGCTACAAATTCTATATCTACTACTACTCAAAAACGTATCTTATTTCGATTTGGGCGCTTAACAAGGCTCTTGCGTCCTCCCTGTTTCTTCGACCTACTACCATTTGAGGTGGCCAGATGCTTCCGTCGTTTCTTTTGTGGGCGCTTCCGGCTGCGCAGATAGTAGATCTCCCGGATCAGACTGTGTCCATCTTCCTCGTCGCTCAACGTAGCCGAGAACTCGCTGAAGTAATTACCACCGATGGTCAGCGTCTCATCGATCCTCAAGTACGGCCCATAAAGCGTAGTCATCGGGGGCCATAGGCCGATGCGGTGTGATCCCAACGGATTTCCATCGATCACGAAGCTCGTCCAGAGGTCTACCATCCGATGGGCCATCGTCAAGTCATGGGGACTGAGGCGTGTCACATGTTCGGGATAGGGAAACAAGTAGAGGGCCTCGTCGGTCAGAGAGACGCCTGCCTTGAAAGGACTCTGCATGTTAGTCTCCTCGTCCATTTCCTTGTACCTATTGAACTCGCCAGCGTAATCAAACGTGTAGAGAAAGGTGTTGTGTGGATTGTGTTTGTTGTTCATGTTAAGGGCCAGCAGAACGGGAAGCTTGTGGTTTAAAGTTCCAGCGACCTAAAAATGAACCAGGTTATACGTTATTCTACCGTTTTTCAGTTCCTTTAATTATTTTATTTAAATGATATTAATATATAAAGTAATGATTTGATGATTTTGACTCACATCGATTAGCCTGGGTATGAGAGTGGCAAAAGTACCATTCTCCATGAGTTCACGGTTGAAAAACTCATGGGTCACAAAGCTGGTGAGGAGCATAGTCTTGTCAGTGCCCACCACCTGTCGGAGCACGTGATCGATATAGTTGTACGTGTTGTATTCATCATCCGGAATCTTTCCCTCAAAGTCATTGTCCACAATCTCGTTAAGCACCCGAGTTCCGGCATTCTTCGGACAGCCGCCCATGGCCGGATAGGAGAAGTTTGATTCTAGCATAAGGTCATATGGATGCTTGGGCAGCACTCCGCTGGGCCCGCCAATGGTAAACTGTATGCCTCCAGTGTGTCCAATACCGAGGTCGGATTTCTCCAGCTGTTAGGTCAGAGTTATAGTCAAATTCGGTTCTTAAATATTTAGTCGGATTTATTTTCATTAACCAATGATAATGATAAGGATAAGAATTAAGGAAATACTTAATGAAGAAGTTATCAGATCTAGCTGTCTACTAATATACTTATATAGTTTATTAGATTGTTTCTCAGCTCCGATAACCTACTTACCGCATGCTCCATGAAAGCAGTAAGCAACTCCAGGGCCGTGAGCTCCATAAGGCAGTTGTTCAAGTCCCGCACTGTGACCATTTGGCAATCGGCCTTCTTGGCGATCTCCTGGGCATGCTTGCGTGGATCCTCCTCTCAGAAAAATGGGCATAATAGCTGATCCAGAATGGTATATCACCTGCTTAAAAAGGCCTCGTTGCACAATGGGCGAAAGGGTGAGCAGGTGGGCAATGGCAGCCCCGCCCACTTGTCCGGCTACCGTGACCTTCGCAGGATCGCCACCAAAGTATTTGATGAAGTGCTTAATAAACTGCAAGGCCAGGAAAATGTCCAGAACCCCGGCGTTACCGGGAATCTCATCCGTCTTTGTAGAGAGGAAGCCAAAGGGCCCAAGGCGGTACTGCGGCGTAACCAGTACGATATCCTTTTCAAGCAGATAGTCCGGCGGAGCCTCTGAGTTGCTGCCCTCATACAAATACTCGCCGTGGATGTAGACAAGAACGGGCAGTCGTGAGGTGACATTCGGAGTGGTTATGGTCATGGTCAGACAATCCTCGACGTCTAAAACGTCATCCAACTGCCGAAGAGAGTCCATCGAGACCACTGAGGGGCAGCCAATCTTCTCTGCTGTGGCGTCCATCACATCCTCCCAAGGCTCGATAGGTCGGGGTGCCTATGAAAACCATAAAGTCTTATCAGAATATTCTTGACATATTGGCGCATAAACTAGTTCATTTTTAATGTTATATTTTAAACATTAATTAGTCACTAAATAAATAAATCAACGTTTTACTAAACGATCGTTGTTTATACAGAAGGAAGGCCTAAACTTCTTTGATTCTTCATTGTGTATATGCATATTGTTCAGGTTTCATTTTTAAAAATTTGTCTGTGACGCATAGGTTTTTGCTTAACTTGAAAGTAATCTAATAATAATGATCATTGCTTTCCCCTTATCTGATTAGATTTTAGCCGAAGATGAGCAGTGAGTATTAGAGATGCATATTAGTAATTGGACAAGGACTCATCAAGTCCTCGATAGTATAGTGGTTAGTATCCCCGCCTGTCACGCGGGAGACCGGGGTTCAATTCCCCGTCGGGGAGAATGCGAATGACTTAACTTTTTTTTCCTTTTTAAGAATCTTTTTCTGCTTGTTTATTTATTGGCTTTGAAGACATTAACATAATTTTGAAAGTTTTAAAATTAGAGAAACCAAGACTCTCAATAAAATGAAACATTTCTATTAGGAATTCTTTGTGATTCTCTTTAGCGTTTACCTTATTTTGCATAACGATGTTTTAATTTTTTGCATAAAATATGTGGCTTATTCATTTTTGTTCTGCTGACACACTTTAGGGCTTCTGTTTATACTATTATCCAGTTTATTTTAATTAATAGCCACAATACATATTTGAATTTAAATTCATTAATTTCAAAATATATCATAACTTTTATACCTTAAAACGATGTAATCCTGTGGGAGGTTCCGCGTATCTGACATCTACAAACTGCAACACTTCACGTTTCGACCAGGCTGTTTCAAGAATCTTTCCCTGGATGCTTCCCAACTTGGGTAGTTCCACTATAGTGTCTTTCTCCTCATCGTATTGCCTTTTACGAACCCTAGATTCCACACCAGATTGAAGGACTAGAACCACGAAAACTATAAGCCAGCACGCGAGCTGCATTTTGTCTTTAGGATAACGCGGATCGAACCAACACTCTCTCTAACGCACCGAACGCAACTGATCTGTGACTGGACGGGACCAATAGATTTTAGTCCGCTCTGACCCGAAGTTTCACCCCATGTCTGACCGAAATAGCCAAATGAAGAGTTCGCAAACGGAAACTGGCTAAAACAAAACGCGAAATAAACTGCAAATGATGCGGCGTCCCCGAGGCTCGAGCCACAGATTTATGCTAATAGATACACGGAAAAAAAGTTGAATTAAAAAATTCTCAAAATCGTTTTTCTATCTTTTTGTTTTTAAAATATTTCTTATTTTTTGTTTTAAATTAAAGTAATTAATTAAATTAAATATGTTTTTATAAATAAATATTCTTGTTATAAATAAAAATGAAATGAAAAGAATATTTATTTATATCAGTACATTGTCCATATAAGCTAGATGCCGAAAAAGTAAGATTTTATAAAAATTTAGTCCACAAAAACGAGAAACTAAGGAAAATGTAATTTGTAATAATATTTTCTCTAAGCGCAAGAACAAATTTCGTTGCTCCGGTTTTAGCCGCTTGGGTAGTCGGTTGATCATCTACAAGTAAAAAGCGAAAACCTAAAGAGCAGCCGCTGGCCCGAACTTCTGATTTGTCCGATAGTCAGTCATTAGTCGCTCAGATTGATGCGAATATTAACCGGCAAACATGAGACATCGTCCATTAACTTGGTTTGTCTTTCTCACGACGATGAAAGTGCGGGTAGCGCCAGACAAAATTAATTTCTAAACAGATGCGGGAATTGATTTAAATTTTAAATTTTATCTAATTTATTACAGAAATTCTCCTCGCTACTGGTATTCACAGTACGAGCTAAAATATCAATCATCATCATCGCGAACGGCAGGAGAAAGCATTCGTGACAGGTCAGTGCCAAAAAAGATCAACGACTTCTCACTAATCGCACGAGATAATTCCATTATATGAGTATTTAGTATTTTTACAATAGATAAACTGGGGAAATCCCACCATATGAGGAAGCTAGAAAGCGAAGAGCTAAAACTTTTCATTTTATGATTTATTTTATTTACAAACTCAATGTCGAGGGAATTTCAAAATCGGCATATTTTAGTTTTGACATTGAGTTTATAAATATACAAATTTTTAACAAGTTAGTTACTTAAGGTTGCAAAAAACCAATATAAATATCATCAAGCTATTCATATACATTTATTTTTATTATTTTTTCTTATGAGGATCACTGTAACTTAGTCTCATATAAGTAATAAGCAATTATAATTAGTAAATTAATCAAAGCAAGTCGAATATGTTTTCCCCATCAATGCCAATTCTGATGTCCAGCCAAGAAATTAATTAATCCAAAGAACAAATGAGCTGCCACACTTAATTTAAACTTTATTATGTTCTCTAATTTGAATTTAGCTCGCAGCAAAGCTTTTGTTCACCTGGCTTCTGAAAACCCAAAATTTGATTTATGGACCGAAGAAGAAAGCTAATTCTTTAAACTATGTTTTTGGCACTTTTTTAAATCAAAGCAGAATCGCCGCTCTTGATCGCTTTTGCACAGTTATTCTTCGGATCAGAGGCTTTTCAATGTAAAACCCATTTCATCTATTACTTCTTAAATATTTAAAAATATTTAATAATAAAATTGGCTAAGCCATTTTCAGACAATAATCATTAGATTTCTTCAGAAGTAATAAAATAAATTTAATTAAAAAAAAAACAATTTGATTTTAAATATTTTTATTTATTATCGAAGGTCATTGATTTAATAAATAGAAGCACAAATTAGGCTGGACTGGACAGAGATTTTACTGTTTTTGGATGCGCGTCGACTTCCTGGCAATGAATACCCAATTTTGGCCACGACCCTCATTGGCAGCCCTCTCGCCTTCGGTATCGTCCTCGTCATCCTCCTCATTGGAGGCGGGCAACTTATCCTGTTTGCTGGCCGCCAACAGAGCTGATTCCAGATCGTAGTAGTCCTCATTGACTAGGTTATATCCCTCCTTCACCTCATCCACGGCAATGCGATATTCATCCAGATAGTTGTCCCCAAAACTGACAGTGCGATCAATCTTCATATACGGTCCTGTTTCATCGGTCATCGGTAGCCAAGTGGGCACACCGGGTGCTTGGGGAACGCCCGTTGTGGCAAAGGATGTCCACAGGGCCACCATGCGCCTGGCCACCTTGAGATCACGGTTGGAGTTCAGGGCCAGAAATCTTGGCCAGGGGAACAGGTACAGATTGTCGTCCGTCAGTGAGACACCCATGTCGAAGGGTATGAAGCTAGCCTCATCCTCACCTGTGGCATAGCGATTCTGCTCGCCCTCATAGTCAAAACTGTACAGGTAGGTACTCTTGGGCAACTTCTTGGCATTGGCTTGCAGGACCAGCAAGACAGGATTCTTCAGGGAAATGGTGCTGCAAAGCTGGATGGAAAAAGTTTGAGGATTAATAAATAATTATACTTAAGAAAGTGTAATAAAATTCATAAAATAAAGAGCTGTTTGACAATGTACTGAACTTACATCGATCAGTCCTGGTGTAAGGCGCTTGAAGCTTCCGTTCTTAACATCAGCTGCGGTGAATATCTCCTCGTCGGCGAACTCTTTCCAGGATCCTGAAGGATCTGCGCCATTTGCCTGTTCGATAATGGTATCAATGTACTGCCGCCCATTCATTTTGTCGTCCAAAGTCGTCTCGTTAAAGATATCAGAAAAGATATCTAGAATCCAAAAAACAGTTTACAAAATAACTTAAATTATTAAGTATTAAGAAAAATGTTAAACTCGCCTCTCAGCATAAATGTGCCTCCGTGCTTGACGCTGCCTCCCATTGTAGGATAAGCCTGGAACTTCTCGGCGGCCAGCAGGCGACCAGGATGCTCTGGAAGAATGCCAGATGGACCGCCAATGACCAGCTGCACTCCGCCGTACGCACCTCCGGACAACGAGGGTTGATCATCACCATGGACACTGAAGGCAGCCAAGAGCATAGTGGCGTTCAGGTGACTCAAGCACTTGTTCAGTTGGTCCACCTTGGTGGGCTGTTTGCATCCTGCAATCCGACCGATGGCTTTAGTGGCTGCCAATGGCGCATCCGTGATGAAAGCCGGCGATAGAGCTGTACCGGATTGATAGATGACGCGGTGGAAGAGTCCGGTCGGAACCGCTGGACTCAGGGTGAGAACGTTGATCAGTGCAGCTCCTCCCACTTGGCCGAAGAGCGTCACCCGCTGGGGATCTCCGCCGAACGAAGCAATGTGTTGTTGGATCCATTTGAGGGCAAGGATTATATCGGTGACAGCTGCATTGCCAGGCATATCGTCGGTCAGCGTAGACAAGAAGCCAAAAGGTCCAAGACGATAGCGCACGGACACTAGGACGACATCCTGCTCCAACAAATAACCAGGAGCTGCCTCCACGGAGTCCCCGTCGTAGAAGAAGTCACCGTGAATGTACACCATCACGGGCAGAGATTTCCCTTCCATCTTAAAGGAGTTTATGTTTTAAGATCGGTTTCAAATTTAAAAATATTTACTTTTTAGTATTATTATTAGGAATTTACTTACCGCCTTGGTATTAACTGTAAGACGCAAACAGTCCTCCACTTCGTATCCATTTTCCTCCAGCTTAGCAAACACAATCAGATCCTGAATGGATGGGCAGCCGGCGTGAGGTCGATGGGCGGGAAGGACACCCTTCCAAGCTGGTGCTGGCTCAGCAGACTGTAGAAAATAAGAGGAAAATTTACATTTTTAATACAGGAACATTTTAATAAATTTATAAAATTTATAAATTTATAAATGAATATGGTTTAGTCATTGAATACCTTTATTTTTAAGTTTTTGAAAAACTAGAAAACTAAAATAAAAATATTTTAATTCTTTATTTATCAACATGATTTGTTTCTTAAACTTGCGCGCATTTCGGATTGGTTATTTGGCGACCGGCGGACAACATCCTCGATAGTATAGTGGTTAGTATCCCCGCCTGTCACGCGGGAGACCGGGGTTCAATTCCCCGTCGGGGAGAGAGTATCATGAATGATGTGTTTATTTTTATTAATTCTAAAAATTAATTACATTACTTTTTTGATTATAATTGAAAAAAACGGATTTCACTGCTGATTATATTCAACGAACCATTCCAGCAATTTTCTTGACCTTTAATTTCAACTGTCTTTTGTTTATAAATAAATTTTAATGACCTTAAAACAAATACATTAAGTCAAAAAATCTGTTATACATATGAAATTTAAAAACATTGTCTTCTTTTGCATTACTAAAAAAAACGTTTATACATTCTCCCCGACGGGGAATTGAACCCCGGTCTCCCGCGTGACAGGCGGGGATACTAACCACTATACTATCGAGGACGACGAGCAACGATTGCCAAATAATAAACAAGCCACTAGAGACAATGTCGGTAAACGTTTGTATGCCGAAGATGATAACATAGAAAAATCTAAAATCTTTGACGATAATAAGAATAACGCACCTTAAATCTTTCTGCTTTGCCATATGGAATGTCCAGGAACTGCATTATTTTCTTTCCAGTCCAATCGGTGGCGAGAGTTCGACCTCGGAGCTTTCCCAGAATAGGAACCGTTGCAGTGAACACCTTGGGCTCTTGTACATTCTGAACCTGTTGCTTGTTAGGCTTCTGTTTCTGGCCCTGTTGTGGTTTCGGGCGCTTATTTTTGTGGTTAGCAATACCTTGGTTTCCCGGTCTAGGCTTCTGCTGCTTCTGCCTATTAATATTCTTCTCCGCAAGTCCATCGGCCACAAAAAGGGACAAAAGGACGATGGCAAGGAGTAAAATAACTCCACTGAACCGTGCCATTATATTATTTCGATCTGCTTCTTTTGCCCAATGGAATCGAACTGTTGGCCATCTCAAATCTCTGCCCACCAAGAAGACTTTCTAGGCATATTCGAGTGACTCTTGACCGGGCACGGGTTCTACTTCGAATAAAATGGGGTCAAATCAACACTCTGTCCAAATCTTCCTCTTGATCACCACTTTTCGCGATTCCAATCAATGAATATTCAACGATCTCAATCTAAATGCGAACTTTTGCGATGTATAGCCGTGAGGCAAGCCCGCGATCTGGATGGGATTATGCTTGTTGGCATGAAAGTAAAAGAGAGTCATCCACAACCTGTTCTGTGCTGTCCCTTAAGGCTTATAGACGATGAGAAATTGCATTATGCTAAATACTTTTCCCGCTGGGTCTAAAAACTCTTTGTATATATTAAATGAAGATCAGCTAATTATATATCTTAAACGATTAAGAATGGTCACATTGTCACTTTTTCATGGCAAAAAGTTCATTTTCAAGTTTTCTGTTAACATCTTTTTATATTTGATTGCAAAATTGCGTACAGCTAGGCTATATCTAATACAACTTTTACAGAGTTAAGTACTTTCATCGATATTGGGGTAGAACTCGCATATATGGTAAAATATTTCTCACAAAGCTTGAACAGATTTAAGTAAATTTTTATGGATTGATTACGAGCGGTTCAGAAAGATATACAGATACAAAAAATCTCAAATAACACTATGTTCTGAAGCTATTTTTAGTCCATATTTGACAGTCTACGAAAGATTTGTACATACATAAGCATTTTTGTTGCGTTGGAGATGACACGTTCCTTGATTTATGCGCTTTGCAATTGTTAATTTTTTTATTAATAAATTAATGCGATAAATGTAAAATTAGCTTAAAATGCATTAGGCTACAACTAGTTCATAAACACGCAAACATTGCAATAAAATGCAGAAATACTCCGAAGAAAAGTATGTATGGATGGAGAACATCTTGAACAAGATCCAGAATAAGAAGGCGTGAGTGGATGTCAGACCACCTGGCTGACGGGGCAGATGACTCACAAATGCCTAAATGTAGTACAGGCGCACAACCGATTTGGTAATGAGTGTCTCGTTGTCGTAGAAACTGGTTTGGATCGTCACATTGCCGTTCAAGACCTTGGCGGGCATCATCTGGGATTCGGGTGCCGCCTCGATCGTTGACTGCCAGGTGTTGGTTGTATTGGCGCCTACAAATCCCATCTCGAAGAACCATTCCTCCATGATGCGACCCTTGAAGAGCACCTTTTGGTCAAGACGAAAATTCTCCATTGCCTCGATGGTACTGAAGTTGATTTCACGAGAAACAGCCCGCATGTCCAGTATCTTCACCGGCACCCGAGCCTCGTGCTCCACATCTGGTGCTGAGAAGTCCTTGTTTTCCTGCCAGATTATCTTCCCACTGTCGGCTTCCCGCAGTATCATATAGTTGATCTGGAATCCCTTTTGGATCCTTTCTGCAACAATCTGGTCGGCAGAACCCATGGCTGCCCGTGAAAATTGGAAGTCGGTCAATCGGTTGGACTTCCAGGTGGGAGCGCCTACGCGTTTACGTATACTTTCGGGCAGAAAATCAATTATGTTTATTTTTAATCCTAGTACCAAGCCAGCTGTTTCAGAACCAGTTCACCATAAAGCGATAACTGCAATTCTGGGTTCAACGCACGAACTAGTTCAGTCTTGCCGATATCGGATAGTTATTCCGCCCTGGCTGTGAACTAATATTTTAATTTTTAAATATCTAAAGTTTGAATTTTATATATTTATCCAAAAAGTTTTTCATTCATATATGATTTAGCTTTCTAAAGGAGGATTAAATACTTATGTTCATTTCTGTATTGTAAAGGAACGGTAACCCAAGTTAGTTATTCGTCGCTCAAAACCAGTTAGATTAAAATGATTATTATTTTAAAAAATTTTAAAATTGTGAGATACTTTTAAAAATCTATGAGTACATGAATTACATCACAAATTCTTTCATTTTCTCAATCTGTTAAGCCGGAATGTTAAATGTCCGCTGTTAAATGGAACCGGAACAGAACATAATCAAAATAAGTGGTTCCGAGGCCAACAGCTGGGCTGGCACTACCATCACTAATTCGCAAAGAAAAACATTCCCAAAAAACAAAAAATTAGCAATAGTTAGCAATGATTATATATGGCGTCTATATAGTTAGTAAATCGGGTGGCCTTATATTCAACCTGGACAACAATGTGCCACGCATCGAGCACGAGAAGACCTTCACATACCCCTTGGATTTGGTGCTGGACTACGATTCCAAGAAGGTATCGGTGTCGTTCAACAGAAAGGATGGAATAAATGGTAGGTGTGTCATGGCATCAGAATGATCAGTTGACTAAATGTTTTATATAGTGGGCCACGTCCTCGTGGCGGTCAACGGAATGCCTGTCAATGGAGTAACTTTGGATGATGGAAGGGATGTAAAGGCTACGCTAGAGGCACCGGAGAATTATCCCATTAACCTTAAGTTCAGCCGGCCGAAGATGACCACCAACGAGAAGATCTTTCTGGCCAGTATGTTTTATCCTCTGTTTGCCATCGCCAGTCAACTGAGTCCGGAGCCCAAAAGTTCCGGCATAGAACTCCTGGAGGCGGATACATTCACGCTGCACTGCTTTCAGACGCTGACAGGGATCAAATTCATTGTCATCTCAGAAACGGGTCTCAATGGCATCGATCTGCTGCTGCGAAAGGTCTACGAGTTGTACTCGGACTACGTTCTTAAGAATCCATTCTACTCGCTGGAGATGCCAATAAGATGCGAGCTCTTCGATAACAAGCTCCAAGAACTCCTAGCCCAAGTGGAGAAAACGGGCATTAGCAATATTGATAAATAAATGTTAAGTTGTCTTTTTACTCTGTTATTGGAAATGTCTTCTATTGATTACGGAAACTTAGTTTAAATGGGGACCACACACATCACCTAATAGAGCTTTTCTTGGTTTGGTGAATTTTGCAGTATCAAAATGGTTAAAATCTTAAAGTTCGGGATTCAAATAGAAAGTCAGCCGCTCCGAAGATCTGTAGATCGTTCGTGTGAATAAAATCTTTTAGAAGAGTGACAGCTAGTTTAAAAATGTTTAAAAAAAAAAAAAAAAATTATCTTATTATTCTCAGGGCATTCATATAATCGCCTTTAAAGGAATATATATACATCTATCTTAATAGTTCAAATTTAAGTTAAATATAACTATACATTTAAATTGTTATTTTTTTCAGCATATCTTATCTAGGGTAAAAATTAAACTGGTTTACGCAAAAGCCATAGCAATTAAAACACCGGGGGGAAATGATTTACGTTCACATTCTCCAGGTTTTTATTTTGATTTTGTGTTTATTCATTCAGCCATCTTAAAAATAGTTTGTATATTATACATACTCATATAAAAATAGTTCTTTGTTTAGCATTAAATATATATTACACTTTCAGCGCATAATCTAGACAACACCCTAACCTAAAACAATATATTGCATGGCCTATATGAATGATTTGTGATCCACGCACAAGTATAAGATAACCAAATAACCAACAAACTCAGTACATGCTAAATGGTGTATGTATATGTATATATATATATAGTTAAACTTCTTGAGCAAAATATGACTCCAAAAAATAGATTGCAACTGCGTTAAAGATTTAAAAATTAAGCAACAATTTCCAGAATACCTACTTAAGGACTAATAAAAAGTATCAAAATGGTTCAAGGCATAACAATTAAGTAAGTTCTTCATTTTCAATTTCATCTCTGTATAGCACTTGGTGGGGAGTACAGCAAGAGAGGGCCTGTATGTGTGTGTGGGGTGTGTGCTTAAAGGATGTTAAACTGCAATATAGATATTGCACCGATCATTATCCCTTTAGTAGCCAGTCTCTGGCTCCTGTTTCAGTGTCATCCGACAGGGTTCTAAAAAACGAAAACCAAAATATATTAGTATTGCAATATATATATATATTTGTTTCTCATTGGTACTCACCCATTCCATAACCACCGGATGCAGAGATCAACTCAGGAGCCCGGATCTTCAGAGGAGTGCGACGCAGCAGTTCCTCGGCGCTACTGCCCTCACTCCGGTTGTACTCGTTGAGGGTGATGTCGGCGGGGTTACGCAAAACCAAGCCGCCACCAACGCTAGACACTTCGACCGGCGAGGCGACTGCTCTTTGGTAGGGATGCATGCGCTGAGGGCTGTGCTGCGATGGCAACGGTCCTGACCGACTGCCGCTGTAGTGCTTGACGGGCATATCCAGGTAAGAGCTCTCCTGTTGTTGTTGTTGCTGGTGCGTCGTATGTTGCTGGTGCTGCTGTTGTGACTTGGGACTGTTGAGCGGAGGCGAGATCGCGGCCGGTGCAACGGATGCGGGTGCAGATGAAGAGGACGAGACGGCTGAAGCGGCCGCTGCTGCTGTGCTGGTCGCGTAAGCTCGGAAGGAATCATCCCCGTTGTTCGCCTCGATTAGAGCCTGGATGTGCTGCACCTCCAGGTCCAGAGTATGCGATCCCGGGCCACCAGTTGCGGCCAATGAGTCCAGTGAGGAGTTAACCTGACTGCCACCCTCCATGTTGCCAGCGTGAGTGGGACTATGGTAGTCATTCGACTGATTGGGTGGGGACAGCGGCAAAGGATTGTCCGCCAATTCTCCTGTTAAAAAAACAATTTATTATTCCAAAAGTTAAGTTTCAAAGTATTTTTATGTACGAACCTCCCAGCAGCATTTCCTGAAGCAATGAATCGATGTGGGCCACTCCAAAGATCTTAGCAAACTGGATCTGCTCGATCATCTGCCAGGTGATAGACTGCAAAACCGGCAGAATGAGCAGGATTTCACCAAAACGCCCGCGTGACTCGTATTGCCGGTCCGAAATGTAGTCCTCGAGATTATTGAGTATCTGATGCCGAAGCGATTTGATGCGATGCGGTTCATTTAAACCCTTGGCATCTGTAGATAAGTTATTAAAAGATTATTAGACGATTTACATGGTTGAACTTAAGGAAGAACTTACTGGGATCGAAGAAGACTAGGGCCTTGATACAGGCGAATTCAGTATCATCGATGCCCACATCCTTCATGACCGTCACCAATTCATCGATGATGCGGGCGCCAATACGTGAGATGTCCAAATTAGGTGACACCAAGGGATCTGTAATGAACATGTAAATGTTAAAATAACGTTTTTTGACTTAAGTAGATTTAGGAACATTACCTGGACAATGCCTGGTGATCACGCAGTTGTTGCTCAGCAGCAGGACATCCTTCAGATGCATCGATCGACGGGAAAGGCCGAGGAGCAGGTGTTCTCCGGCATGGGCTCTTAGCAGAGCAACTTGGTCGTCCAGCTGCAGCTCGTTGAAGGCCGGGATCTGCTTGGCCCACTCCACAAGTGTCAACAGTTGCTGCTTCATCGACTCACAGACATCGTTAATGCTGGCGAACTGCTTCGTGGAGAGGTCCTCGTTAATGTTCGGCTCCATGGCAGCTCCTGCCTTTGACTGGCGCGACTCATTTTCGGCCTTGACCAGTGAGATCACCGAAAGCCCGTTTCCTGGATCCGGGTCGTCGTTCGACGTTCGCCGACAACTGATCCGGTCCCGCTCATTCTGAACCGCCTCCTTCTTCATACCCGCTTTGAAGCACTTCCTCAGTCGGCAGTAGCGGCACTGGTTCCGCTTATCCTTATCCACCACACAGTTGCGCGAAAATCTGCAGGTGTACTGATGGTTCTTCCTCACACTTCTCCTGAAGAATCCTTTGCAACCGTCGCAACTGGAGGCACCGTAATGTTTCCCCGTCGCCCGATCTCCACAAATGGCGCATACCGTCGGCGATTGTTGTTGCTGCTGTTGGTGTTGCTGCTGCAATTGCTGCTGACTACTGCTGCTGCTGCCACTTCCGCTCAGGTTGTTGTTGGGCGAGTACATGCTATTGTTGTTGTTGCTGCCACTGCTGGCACTTCCGGCTCCTGCGCTGCCCGCATTTCCGCTTCCGTTTCCATTACAGAGCGCAAAGTTCTCGCTGCTCTGGTTGCTACTGTTGCTCAGTCCCAGACCCACGCCATTGGGGCTGAGGGCGTGGCCAATTGGACTGTGCGGCTGCGAGGCAGCCGGATAACCAGCGGCCAGGGCATCCGCGTGCATTATATGGCTTTCCGATTCTGCAAGAAAATAAAGGAGAAATTCGAAATTAATACAAGAATCAGTGAAACATATATGTACTTATTTATAAATTATAATACTACAGTTTTATTAATCTTTTTAAATTGTTTTTAAATATTAATTGTTTAGTTCATTTTGGTGCCTTGAAAAATCTCTCAAGACCGAAGACTTAAAAAGAAAAATTTTTAAAATACGGACATAAAGATTAATGAGTCATTATAATTATTAAGATGTAAATTTTAACCCTAAAGAACTGTTTTTTTCGATTTGTCGTGTGATTCGCTGAGAAAGTGTCCGGCTCATGCTGAGATCCACAGTTTTATGGCCTTAGGGGCTGGGCGAAGTTTTAGAAGCGGTTTGTGCCTACGCAAATTCCTCTCTACAGTTTTGTGTCTACTGGATACACTTTTTACAGCACTGACAATCTTTGCACTCAAATAGCAATTAAAATCTTTTATTGGCGGAAATTGTAAACAAATTGCTTCGTTTTATAGCATCACTTAAAAAAAATTTAAAATACGCTTATATAAATATTTTTTTTATTTACATTTTTTTAAATCATCCCTACAAATGCACGGTGTTTTCTTAATTGTTTAAGCTTTCGTCAGTCTAAAAATATTTAATTACGCTCTCAGAATTATAAATATATCAAAAGAAATATTTTTCTATACCGCGAGGTTGGATAGTTAAAATTAGGGTTTAGAAAGTCTTGCAAAACTTAAGTTTTATATTTAGGTTTGAAGATATTAAATGCAAGCTTTTCGAAATATTGAAAGTTTTTTCTGGAAGTAATTACATTTTTATATTTAAATTACTAATTTAGAGAGAATAACAATATCTCTGAAAGCCCAATTTAAAACTGATCGTTAAGCTTTTTTTTTTTGACCGCAGGTGTACAACGTACGATATACTCAGGGGTCATTAAGTTGAGGTTTTGTAAAAACTAGCTAAAAATCGCGCAATAGCCACAAACAAAAATTGCAAAAAATAAATAAATAAACAACAACAACAGACCGTCACTGGAGGCAGTGCGACTGGCGCTGCTATCCCGCCTGCGGCGACGTCGCCCCGCCTCTGCCGCCGCTGCTGCAACTACCACCCGCCCACCGCCCACTTTGCCACGCAACAGAATGTTACCAACAGCGACGCGATCGCGACTAGAAATTTTAACTCTACCGGACTTGCGCACCATTTTAATGCAACTGATTAATGAAAAAACACACGACTCGAAATTTTTCAGTCGCGTATCGTATGTTGTCCTCTGTGTATCTCTCTCGCTCTCTCTACGCCGCTGCACAGTGGGGTGATTTCAAATTGGTATGACAAATATTTTTCATTGAAATCCAATGAAACTTGAAGAGTAATTTAAGTGATTAAATTTTGGTCATACTATTAATTTAAATATACACTTGTTATTTTACAACCAAAGGTGTTTTGTCATTCGAAAGTCATTCTTTGTTCAAAAATTTAAAGATTTATTTTTAAAAACTTTAATTTCCCACCGTGCGTTTTCAGTGTGTGCGTTAATCGACGCTTAAATCAATTCAACTGTGTTTGCATATCTCGCTCTTTCTCTCTGTCCCTCTCCGAGGAGACCGCGAGACCCCAAAACCAGACTTGGGGCTCTCACAAATACAAAGGCACGCAGACGCAGAGATAGAAATTCATTTGGTGGACAAAACAACAACAATACAAACACTAACAACGACATCGGCCAAACGAATAAACAAATAAATAAATAAAATGGGTAGAAAAAAAAGCCGGCTTTAATTTGGACATCGTTATGAGGGATCGTGTGAGAGAGCGTGTGAGTGCCTCTGGATGAAAATATCATTTGGGGAGATGGAGAAATGAGAGAAACTAGAAATACTAGTAAAACGTAGAAAGGGAAGAGGCGGTAAGTAGTAGTTACCTTTAATAAAAACAATAAAAGTGCTAGTACAGTGGGTGACACAAAAGAAATAACAGATAATTACAAGCATCATAATAAATATAAAAAAAAACATATTTTTAATAAAAATTAGATACATAGATTAGATAGACATATTTCTGAATGTGTTTTTAAAGTCTTGAACTTTTATACTATTTTTACTAATAAATTCCTTGATTTTATTACATAACCTGATTTCTTTCTTAATTCGAAATTCAAATATTCTCCTATGGTACAACTTTAAAACGATTTTGATTTAAATTATTTGTCCTCATAAATATCTCTCAACAATCAATATGTATTACTATAATTATAATTTCAAGTTAGTCACAGTAGGAGTGTTCTCAAAGATTTTCCACTATATATCGTATTAGTTTCTAACTTCCCGGGAATTATTTTTAAGTTAATTGATTGGCAAACATTTACAATTTTAATAGACTCTTCATGATTGCACTCCAAACAGCAAATTACCTCGTTTGTTTACAGATTCTCAGACAGTTAATCACGGCACTCCGACAATTCCGATGGACACGTGATATGTGATATAGACAGACTTGGACTACACGTGAAATATATCCGCACCGCTTGAAAATCTAACTCGAAATAAGAGCAGTCACTGATCTAAGAGAAGTTTAAATAACACAAAAAGTTCTTATCTCTCTGTGTATGGGTGTACTGTTGTCGTTGTTGTTATTTTATCACGGTTTACTGTTGTTGTTTTAACAGCTTCGAAAGACACGCAAAAACAAAAACAAAAAAATACACTGAAACACCAACGAATAAAAAAGGTAAATAAAAAAGCATAATACTCGTTTTGCTATCATTTCGCGCATAAAACTTTCTCGCCCCACACTCCCTACCTCGCTTGCACACTGTTACCCATCTCGCTCGCACACTGGCCGGCTGGGGGGGAGCGAGAAACAGAAACAGGCCCCGGTGTAAGTTTTATATATAATTTTAGTCAAGTCATCGTTAGAGTACACTTTTTTCGAGCTTCGTCATCGTTAGTATTGCAAAAATGTTGTTGCCGCTTCTGATGCCCCAAAACTGAAGTGGCCAAATCGTAATCTGCGATTAGAAATTCCCGATTCGCTAAAATTTTTTAGTATTTCGAAGATTTCTTATGCGTGGTACCTTGCAAAAATAAGTACAAAAAAGAACAACGACTTTATGGTTCCTTGATAAAACGAATGAGCTGAAAAACAGCAATCAAGAGTATATGTACATAGATTTCACGTTTCCCGATAAGAAGAACTCGGCAAACAAGTGTAGCCACCTGAGAATCATATATAACGCCGTATTTTTATCTATATTAACATTTCAGTGTACTCGCCCGATATTTGTTTAATTAATATGCCGAACACAACGGCTGGTGACGAGCCCCCAAATACCCCCCAAAAAATAGCGTACATATATATATATGTATAAATAAATAGATCTAGAGAGCGTTTCCGAAATGCCTCTCATTTCGAGTATTTCTCGCCATGATTATAATTTTTGAATTGACCAATACGTCAGTACGCCTCTTTGCCTCTCATCTCTGCGAAGTATTTATTTATAACAAAATAATTTACGAAAATCAACAAACAATCAACGGAAATAAAACCATTGTAAAATATAATTCCCAAAATAAAAGGCCATTTTCGGGTCAGTTACTTTATTTTTATAAAAAATCTGTTTCTATATGAAACTTTTTCAAATTGTTTTTTATATTTTAGGTTTCTGCTTATTTCAGATTAAAATAATATGCATAGTATCTATTATAGATCTATTACGTATCCTCATATGATAATTCTGGCCAACACGAGTTGTATGAGAACTTTGCTCGAACTACGCAAAATTTGTATTTATTTTTGGACACAAAGTTGTTGTTTACCAAATTTATATATTATACATTTTAAAAACAGAAAATTATATAAGTTCAAGCAAATAGAGCTTCTAAAAACAACTTGTTTTTACTTTTTAGTTAATTTAAAATTGATATAAATTTCTTTAAACAATTTATTAAGGGACGTGTTCAAATTTATTTCCGGCGGCTTTTGCATGAATAAGAGCCTTTGTTTTGCATTAGTCAGCCATTAGTCAAAAAAAACAAAGAAATTTGATAAGAGTCGTGCAGTTTCCCAGATTGTAGAGTCTAAAATACTCTCGATTCGCATAAATACTACATACTATTTTAATGTTTCTCTGGCAGCAATCAGTATTTGATCATTATAAAATTTATGACGGAATTTTAAAGGACACATACCTCCGTTTTATCTTAAAAATTTTTGAATTATCAACTAAAGGCAACCTTAGTTTTTGTAATAGAAATTACATTAGCAAATCGTCGGCTCAACGTGATAAGGAATATATAGTTAGATCGGTAAAAATAGCTTTGATAATACCTAATAATTTCATTTTAACTGATTTGGGTTGAGCTCGGATTAGGGAAGTCAGCGAGAATCTAAAAAATCTTGAATACATGCACAGATTATTCAATATATATATATATATTAGATTGAGGAGAGCCATTTAGCAAAGACCTTAATTATTGTTTTGTTTCAGCGGGGCAATGCGAACGACTAGCATTAGCCCACATAAGTGTGTAATTTTGCTGAAACCCCTTAACCCCATCTGGCCGGCCGCTCACACACATTTATAGCCCCCAATCGAGCTTTACTATATATATATATATATACGTATATATTGCGGGACTCTTATCGTCGTCGCAGCGACGTCGGTAGAGACTCAATAACGTGCCTAATGGCAAAGCGAAGCTCCCAACGGCCGCTGATAGCGCACACACGGCGTATGATCAATTTAAAATCAACTAGCGAAATGGAAACACTGAAAATCGAAACCGAATCAGAATCAGAACGGCAACAATAGCTGCACTCACGGGGTGTCCACATGCGACAAGAGCAATTAGCAGAAATTGAAAATAAATCGAAGGCAGAAGGAGGGAAAAATTAAAAATGAATCAGCGAGATATCAGAAAGAGCTATTGTTGATATTTTTTATGCTTCCTAAAAGGTATAAAAAGTTTATACCAAATATGCTTAAATATTTAATAATGATAATATATAA